CCATGTTGTCAACATACGGGCCCTCCGACAGTGTCGCGTGACGTCTTTTCAAAGCGTGATTGGTGGAAAGTTCCCGTTGCTGTGGCAACGTGGAAGCTGTCCGTTGTGCGGGATTAAGGTGCTCGAAACTGTGTTTACAGAAAGACGAATTGGCCACAACTGTACTTTCATTTAAACTACAATCACAACACTGCGAATTTCAGTGCTTCAAGTTAAACGTCCAGCTGCCCTAAAATCATTTCAGTTTATTATATAGTTACTTAGTTAAGGACGAATTATTTTGGCTAATGTTCAACCTGTGGCGAGGGCCACTCTGAAAATAATGTAAATTAACGTTACCGTTACAAGGTGTTTTCTAACAAAACCGTGCTTCTGATAACGCTTAGCCTTCACAAAATCTGTGGATATATAATGCTAACGTATTTTCCCCTTGCAGAAGAAAAGCAGACCACTGCGACGACTAGAATTCAATTCTAATAGGTTTGCTTGCTTTGGTTACTGTAAGAGACCTGTGAGACAACTTTATATGACAATAGAAAACCATTAAATGCATTTAGAATCAGTCACAGGTCATCTGTTACACCTCTAGGATCCTTTAAACTGTGGCATCAGGGAACTGGTCAGCACTTCAGTCTACTGCAGATGGTCTGAAAGCAGTTCAACATTTAAAAACCAACCCTCACCGCTTGCAGACCACCTGAACTGCACAGAAGCGAGTTCATTAGTTCAACAGGACCCAAACAGGGGAAGCTCGTCAGGTTGCCAGCACTCACCTATAAAGCAGGACACTCCGTATGGAGTCAAAGTCCTCCAGGTTCGCCGAGACGGATCGAAAGGTTCTTCCATCCGAACAGACACTGAACATTATGCTTCATGCTTTATGTGACCATCTGGTTCAGCGCGACTCATGAATGTAGCACAGCTGAAAGTCAGGGGGAACTGTGGAGCTGTCAGAGAGACGGGGGGGCTCCACTCTGGACCTCCACGCAGATGCTGCATGTGTAAAACCGAAGTTTAGACCCGCTGTCCTTGCAGGGTGGTCTGGCTGATTTCGAGCTGACTGCTTCGGTGAAAATGTCTCCAAAATGAGAAGCGTCGCCTGCAGTCCCGTCTGCTTCCCGCAAAACTGACCAGCCAAGCGAATTTCCTTCACTCGCCTTTGAAGAGAAGTATGCGCTCTTGAGTACTTCTGCAGATCCGTTCAGCTGCGTTCAGTGCGGTCAAATGGTTTTCATACCAAGTGGAGTGTGAGTGCGCGCGCTCGAGAGAGAGAGAGAGAGAGAGAGAGAGAGAGAGACAGAGAGAGAGAGAGAGAGAGAGAGAGAGAGAGAGAGTCAGACAGAGAGAGAGAGAGACAGAGAGAATTTTTTTTCTTTATGCATTTCAAGAAGTAACCTAAACTACCTGAAAAAGCACAAAAAAAGCACAAAACTACTTTCTTTTAAATTACGTAAAGTGCTGTGAGTCCCCACAGTTATTATATCATTACGTTGATGAACAATGGACACCTATGAGCTTTGAAGTTGTTTGATCATGTCTGCAGCCATGCAGGTCTGCTTTAAACTGTTCACCATTTATACCTCAAACATGTTCTCTCACACTAAACCCAGATAAGCTGAATTTACTGTAAGACAAATTGAGGAAACCAGGTGTCTTGAGTAATGTGTGATGAAAACCTGAGTTAGTGTAACCTTTAGTTATGACACCTAAATGGCAAGATGACTGAGGCTTTCTGTTATACCAACTGCTTTGCCCAATAATTATACTTAGTATCTTGACTTCAAGTAAATAAAAAAATATATTTTTACTTAGTTTTCTTTTTTAAATTCCATTTGACTTAAATATTGATTAAAAATAGTCATGGACAGTAGTAGTGGACACTTTTCTTCATTCACTTTGTTCTTTTCTTTATTTCATCATCCACAGGTAATACAGCGACTACACTGAAGCTTTAAAGCCTCTCCTGTCTGTATTAATCTCAATGGCAAATTCCAAACCCAAAACAACAACTTATAACCTCTACCTGTAATGAGGACTATCAGCTTACCAGACACTAAATGGAAAGTTTTTGGAATATATCATCAACATTATATAACCAAGAAACAGTGAAGCTTAAAATTCGTTAAAAACTGTGGTTGTTGTGTTTGAGGAACTGACAGATAACACAGTACAAACAGGCATGGGTCATCGCATTTTAAAGTGCTGTCATCTACTTTATACTCATTTTATCAGAATCAACTACTGTATAGTTGCACTTTATAGGTTCACAGTTATTGACTGTAGTCTTTCAATTACTGCACAATTTATCAGCCCCTCATCTACCCCATCCATCATTGGAAAGGGACCCCCCATAGGACCACCAATAAGCAGAGAGTTGGGTGATGGACTACATCAGTAGCACCACCATAGTAGTGGTATAGTAACGTGTATGTTGCTGGTGCAAGTGCTAGATGTTTTACTGGCCACTTTATTAGAAACACACCTTAAATGATTGCAGATACACAGCATATGGTAAGGAATAATTGTGTTTAGATGAAATACACATTAATGTGTCTTTCACTGTGGCCTGATCAAGAGCTCATTCCTCATGTTCTCATGTCCAGCACTCTATTACAAACGGATAGTTCCGGTCCTAAAATCTGATTGGCTGAGCCGCGTTCGAAGCCGTTGTAAAATTCACGAAATACACACACTTGTGACCGCGTCACAACAACTGAATTGTGTCAGAGCCGGTTTATGAGGAGCCTGGCCACTTCCTATTCCCCCCCGTTACATCAAAAACAGGACTGCTGACCAGCAGAGGGCGCCCGCGAGAGAGTCCTCAATGAATGGGAGTTAATGGAGCTCAACGGCTAAAAACGAAAAGTTAAAATAGTTTCTAATACCCACCAAGAACGTTTCTTTAATTTTAGAAAGTAGAAGGATGTATTTCACTAAACAAACAAAGAAATTTTACCTATATATTTCCTTTTTTCTACAGCAAACGGGTTTTCGGCAGCAGAAGGTGGGAATTACTGCCAGGGAGTGATGATTGATTGGCGAGCGGAGCAGCTCATTGGCTGTTCGCGCTCACTGACGTCATGGACATGCATAGGTTCCGTTTTAAACTCCTATAACTCGAGTTTAAAAGCTCTTAAAAATATTAAAAACAGCGGTGTTAAAATGTTTTATGATATTCAGTGTTCAGGAACTGAAAATATTATTTTACATTAAAATTGTTTAAGCATTTATAAACTACGATTTTGCTCAAATGCTCCATATCAACCCATTCATTTTGGACTCACTCGGGAGCGCCCTCTAGCGTTTGAGAAAACGGGAAGACATTGCAGAGCGGTAATTCTCCTCTCTACAAGTTCTCAGGTTGTGTATTACTGCGCTACGGCACGAGAAGAACCCTTGTGCTGTTAATGGAATAATCATAGACATACATGTATGTATATCTGTGGGAATAATCTTTGACCCCAATGCTGCTCGTATATTTATGAAGTAAGTTTCTTTACACTGAAGGGCTGGACTAGAACTAGGCTGGTCAGCTAGCTAGCTAACAGGCTAAAACATAGCCAACAGTCTAAACAACTCCATCATTAATATCACAGGCTTGAATTAAAGTACTTACGGCATGATCAACTGTAAAACGGCAGTACAAAAGTCTAAAAATGTCATTTGAATGGATTACACGCTTCAAATGTTCGTGTTTCAGTCAGAAGTAGCGTCAAACCCCGGCTGAATCCCAAACGGCTCCTACTCCCTAAACAGTGTGCTAGCTATTAAAGTTCAGCCAAATAGTGCATATTTTATAGGGTATGGATGTGGCTGAGTCCCTAAATGACTATTTCTTAGCTGTATTTTGCACCGTTGGGGTGAAAAAAAAGACAGAAATGACAGAGATGGGCGACCGAACGTTCTCCTCATCCCGCGGTCCATGGTTGCGTGGCAACGATGCCGTACTCTAAAGGAACTACATTTCTTGGCGGAATACTTGTTTATGTCGATTATTATTGATTATAACTGAAATTATTTTCTGAAAAATTGTATATTTGGTCATATTTTATGTTGGTCGCCATTTTATAAAAGCAATAAGCCACTTGAGGCTGTGCGTTACTGCGATTTTATCACAGCAAAGGGAGTTACAGGCACTCCGCTTCACGTCCTTCCCTGATAAAATCGCAGTAACCGATGACAGGCCTTTGGGCTCAAACCATGTCGGAATCTCCGTGTTAACGTAAATATTCGTCCTGTTAACGCGTTAAAACGTGTTTAAGACGCTAGTTTTCAGTATTTGGATTTTGTTGCTGTTTGGAAACCTTTGTGAATCATGATGCTTTACCGCCACCTACCGGTGGGGCGTTATTGCTCAAACAACAAACAGAAGCAACAGACCAAATAATGGGAAAAAAATCCAGTTTTTAATTTATTTTGAAATATAATCTGAACAATATGTTTGGTAGAATTTTTATAAGCATAATACACTGCATTGTTGAACAGTTTAAAGTGTGAGCAAATCTTTTGCGATCCCTAAAAGTACGATTGCAGTTCAAAAGAAAGTCATGCAAAGCTATCTTTCAAAACACGATTCCTCCGATGTCTCCATCTAAAAGTTTAGGTTTATTGGCTCCTTCTTACAGGATATGTCACTCTTGTGTCATTTCCCCCTGTCTGGTGAGGTGGGCTCAGCATAGCCACAGGTTAGCGCTCAGCTCACTATGTCATGAATAATCTAAATGAAACGAAGGGGCTATGTACACACAGGCTTATGGTTTCGTTGTGAGTTTTAACGTGTGAAGTAATTTCTAGTTTGAATACGCATGTACGTCTGGATTTGAAGCCTCACATTGCCAGAGACCTTAAAGACGTATGATTGTTATTGTTGGTAACGTGATCACGACTGAAGTATACGTGTTAACGCGCATATTCAAAACTGTCCTGAGTCTAGCTGCCCTCCACAGAAAGCTACAATATTAGTTCAATTATTCTGTTATTATATTGTAATTATAAGTTTAACCACTCTGAACATGCACTCTTCTTCTCCTATCTTGCGAAAAATAGGGAACGGTCATCAATGACAAAAGCTCTTGATATAAATCATGAGCTAATATCCGATTCGCGCTTAGAAGAGTACATCGCTCCTCGTCATCGTGGTTAGAAAGACGCTACACTTCTGAATCAACTTTCCTAGTCATACACTATAGAAATGATCCCTGAAAGTATAGTCTTAAAGAGAAAACCGTCGCGCAGATCCTTTAATCAAATTAACTACAAATCACGAAGACGGTAGGCTGAGAAATGATGACACACTGAAATGTGTTTACTCTTAGTTTAGGTCAGTTTAACCCACCCAGAGTACACCGCGATAGCCATCTTATGAAGTAATAATATAAAACCTACAAATTCAATGAAAAATGGAACAATATGACATTTATATACAAACAAATATGTAATATATATGGGGTCAGACGACATGTATTTTTTGGCTTTATTAAAATGAACTTCATTAAATCACTAATCCCAACCATTAATATCTAAATTTCTTTTGCAACAAAATGAATAATTTGATTTAATATGAATTATTTCAGCAACCCAGAATGCTTTGCGCCGATAAACAAATGACTGAGTTTTCATTGGCTCTCACAGACGACAGCACAAACAGGCCAGGTTCGTCACATTTAACCTTTTTTTAACGCTCTCAGCTCGAGAATACACTTTTACTACAGCGCTAATCAGATTATCACTCTTCCTCTTTTACACCACGTGCGCTAATAAAAAAATAATAAAAACATTATTTTACCGTTGAAGTGGAAAAACAGAAAACCGAGGTCCGTGTGTTAAAAGAGTCCCCGGGAAACCAGTTTCATATTTCGAGTTCCACGAGGCTGAAGGTGTTTTTTTTTTTTATTCACCAGTTTCTTATCCGAATTGACCGGTCCACCTTAAATGGCTCACCAGTTCTGTTCTAGCCGTTGTGCACACTCTGACGCCTCTGCGGTGCCATTTAAGGTGGAACGGAAATCTCGAATATGAAGCTTGGCGAATTACTTTATCTTTATTCAGTTTCCATCAGGTTGTCGGCGTTGTTAGATGTGTCTCAGGACTGATACTAGATATCACTACCAACGGTCTTATGAGTCTATTTCAGAGAGGCAGAGCAGCACAGCGCAGTACGTAAAGCTCAAGATGCGCCCAATGGCGCTTACCCTCGCATTCTGGAGCGATATCTGAAGAAGAGCAGGAGAGAGACGGGGCTGAATTTATATCCTCATCATCAAATAACGGAATTAATAAGTTAGCCCCCAGGGTGAGTCCCCCAGGACCTGGACTGCTTAACCTCTCCAACAGTTACTTGAAAAATGAACACCATTGTGAATTAATCTCGTATAGGTCTGTTGTTTGGTTAAGTTATAACACGCTAACAAAACAAACTTAATAACATTTCATAACGTAGTGATATGTAATCATGTGACATAACACAGGACAAATATCGCCCTGTCTGTTCAGGCCTGTTTTCTTAATAACATCTCTACCTGTGAAAAACAATATTTAACAAAAGACAGTGAGCTATATTTGCACATTAAAAGCCTTTAGCCAGAGTTTAGAGAGCAGCAGCTTACATTCACAAGTAGAGACCTACAAGTAGAGGCAAATTGATTATTTTTTACTATTTTTCAACAAATAAAGTACATTTCCAGGCTAATAAACGAAGAAATAAAGGCAATGCATTAAAATAACGACATTTATTTTACGACAAGTCTCTGAAAACCATCAGTGTAGAAGAATCATAGTAAAATGAAATGAAAAGGTGTTTTAAATACTAAATAATCTCAATAGAATAAATTAATTGTTGACAAAAGGTTATTGTGGTTTCAAATTGCAACTATGAAGTGAGTTTTGCAAACAGCAAATCAGCAGTAGCTGATTATACATGAACTGATTACACTGTTCAGATCAAACTGTCCCTGAGATGATTAAAATTTTAATTACTCTAGAAATACAAATAGAGATGAAAAAATATAAGACATGCAGCCAACTTTACGCTGTTTGTTTCAAACTATGTACAAGAGGTCATCATGCTGATGCCGGAATTTTTTTTCGAGCAAAAACTGACAAAATGTCAAAGCCCGACTAGGACGTTCATTCATACAGGTTCAGTGTCCATGGCAAATATTACTTCAGCACTATTTAATCATTCTTGTGTCATTTACATGAACCCTGCTAAAGAACTCAAGCAGCTGGAACAATGTTTGTTTTTGGTGCACAAGATTTGCTAGATCCTCATCAGTGGTTCAAGGTCCATGAGACTTCTACATAACTTGGTGTTTATCTCTCATGGTGTCTGTTTATTGACATCTCTGGTCATCATGGTACCTCAGGCAGGGCTTCAGAAGAAGCCACATATCCTTTCCCTGCTGGAATACCAGCACTGAGGGCTGTGGTCCAACTTTCAGTATCACGATATGTCAGCAGGATTTCAAACACTAGAAGTAAACACAGCAAAGTTTCACAGTCAAATGAAACATTCCATAGGACACAGTTGTACATGCAAATAGTTGCTTGAAACTCCTAAGGACAGGTAACCAATGAAAACAACGCTAATCTGAGCTGGTTGCACAAAGAAGGAGAACAGAGAGGAGCACACCTTGGTTTGATGGCTAGAATTTTTGAGTGAAAGTTCTTGGAGTTGGGTTTCTTCACCATATACTCATCAATGGGCAGCCTTGCCATCTGCACACCAAGCTCTTTAGCCCTTGTGTAGCTTATTTTCTGTTGGCAATTCAGAATTCAGTTGTGATAACCAACACATTTCAATTATATGCCAATACATCTCAATTATAATGCCAAAGTAAAAACTCACAGAAGCTTTCTGGGCTGTAATAATGTTGAATAACCCAAGCAATGTGTGTAATAACAGCATATCATTACTTGATATGAGATAAGTCTGGTAAATGGACTGAAAAGCAACTGCAGACAAACCTTCTGAATGCTCTCATCCACAAGGCCTCCAAGAATGTAGACTTTATCTTCATCGACTTGTTCTAAGGCTGAAAGCAGTGATTCAATTACCTAAATGTGTTTCGTCTTTTAAGAGCTTTAATTCATGATCAATACAAAAAGTAAAGCAGAGCACAAACCTTCACTTGCATCTGGAGTTAAATAAATGATGTCTTCAGAGGGAAAGAGCTCTATCCAGCTCTCTTCTGTGACATCAATCTGTTAAAAAAAAGGTAAAATGGTCAAAAATTCTCACAGCTAGTTAGAAATATTTGGGTCCTGGCTTACTAAAACCTGTCAACCACTATAATGATCTATCACATGCACAGTGCTATGCAGATGTTAGAGTTCATATATAATTTGCACTGATCATTCACTTTCTTATATACCTTACTGTCTGTCTCATACTGTCTTGTCCTCCATATTTATTGCACTGTGTTGTATTTATTGTTAGCCAAGTTATTCACTGCTGCGTATTAAATGCATTGTAGTCGCGGTGCTAAGGCACTCTATGTAATTGCTCTGTATGTAGTCTATATCTTTCTAATCTGCACTGTCTGGTTCTGCAAGCCAGTGTTTCTCAACCCTGGTCCTGGAAACCCACTGCTTAGCACAGTTTAGTGTTTACTCTGCACATGATCCAATTCATCAGCTCATGAACAACCCTTTAGTGAGTTGAAGTGGATGTGTTGAAACAGGTGAAGTACCAATATGTGCCAGGCAGTGGGCCTCCAACGCTTCTAGCTCTGCAATATTCTTGGGCTGTCTTGTATGCACAGCATGTTTAAGATCTACCCACAGGTTTTCAATGATGTCCAAGTCAGGGGACTGTGAGGGCCATTCCTAGAGCTTCAATTTGTGTTTGTTGAAACAGTTCATGGTGGATTTTGAGGTATGTTTTGGATCATTGTCCTGTTGTGGAAGCTAGTCTCTTTTCAGCTTCAGGTACACTACCATTCCTGTGTCAGCTAAACCTTCCTGCAGGTCCTCTGCTGTCATATGGGGATTTCTGGTCAGCATATGAGTTTTTTTGGTCTTTCAGATCTTGCGTTGACTTCCAGTGTTCCCCTGAACTGCCATTTCTAAAAGACATATCATACAGAGGAAACTAGCAAGATATCTTTTTATAGCCTTTCTCTGCTTTGTACATATCAACTAGGTATTAGGTAGGTATCCTTAGCCAGCTGCTCTGAGGATCTCATAGTTAAGTGTTAGCACAGGGCTTAAAGAGTCAGAAAATTTATTACGTTCTGGAATTTTAATGAGCTGATAATTCCTAATGACAATTCTTGACCTGCCTGATCAGTCCTAATGAGTCAATTACAGTCTAACAAGTTAATTAGGTTCTGAGACCTTATGTCTGAGTGTCTAAACTTTTGCACATGCCACAATAACTATTTTATTTTTAAAATATATTTTTAACATGTTTTTGTTTGGATACTTTAATCATTCACAGAAAGTACAGACCAAGTAGTTGAGGAAGCCGGCATTCATTCTGATGCATTCTCTATAGAGCAGACCGTCCTTTTTCATGTCCGTCAAGAAGAGGTGGAAAGGCTGCTGGGCTTTCTTATTGGACCCATAGAGTCGTCTTATTTGACCTGCAAGACGACTGATCTCCTAGAGGTGAAACATGTTAAGATGATTCAAATACAGAACAGCACCTAAATGATTAATTACTACACATTAACAACTTCCTATGATTTTTTTTTTTGTTTTTACATTTACAAGAAACAGAATAAGTTAGGATCTATGTTTTGGGGCACTGATCAAGGTTTAAAAGAGAGACTCTCACTTTGTGTGACATGCAGTCAGTCATGCTCAGATCCACACACAGTCTTGGTCCAGTTTTTCTAGCCTCCTCTAGACGTTCTTTAGTGATCGCCTTGATGACACGTTTACTGAACTGAGGCACAACATCTACAGGAGACAAACACACACAAATAAATTCAACAACTATTAGAATAAAAGATATTGTTACAACAAAACCATTCAGAAATAAAGTGATGAAAATGGTACCACTTCAAAATATGGGAATGGAAATGAATGTAAAATAAGACCAGTTGTGATTAGGGAGTAAGTAACCTGTACTGCATCTTATAATGGTCAGTGGCTCCACCTACTAGTTAAACTCTAATATGCCAATAAGGAAACTTGCACCAGCACGGACACAGTGGCTGGATGCCATGGACAAAAGGCCATACTGATCTTATTTGATAATATTTTTGATCACAACAAAATAAAAGCTCATTCTTGGGTTTTCTTGCTTAGAGAAAAAAACGCTATAAAATGTAAATCAGCAGATTAACTCGTCAGTGCATACTGACACCATGAGATGTTAAAGTTCATGTAATTGTATGCAATATCATTGATGGCTTTCATTAGAAATCCTGCTAACAGTAGGCCCACATCATCACACAGCCCTTTAATTATACAAAAAACAAAAAAATAATTGAAAAGTGTCAGATTTCCCCTTATCCAGACTTATTAAATGAGTAATGAGGTCACCTTTTTCTTGCTGGTTCTGCTTCCTCCGCTGCTTTTCCTCTTTCCTTTTGTGTCTCTTTGCCTCCAGCCTCCTCTCCCAGTTCCGCTGCTTTCTCATGACATTCTTCTGTATCACCACAAGAAAGACATAAAAAATCCATTCTATTCATGTGCCACTACGATCACATATAGACGATTTCCACTGATTTCTAAGTCAGAAACATTAAATAGATTGAATGATTATTCAGACACTCAGCTGTCACTTTAAACAGGTACTGACAGTAGTGGCAGTGTGACAATGTAAGACATTGTCATAGTATGAGTGAAGCAACACCTGCATCAGAACGCCACAGGTAGTTTCAATATTGTAGTAAAACAGGAGCATCCCTTCATGTGTCCAACCTTTACGTCAACAATTCTCACCACAAAACAACATGAACTGAATACAACTCACAGCAGTGACCTCCATCTTTTCCTAGATCTTGTTCCATGGAGAATCACCCTGCTGGATGAACACTTTCACATACTGACAGCCTGCTAGTCCAAAGAGGTTTATCTGGCAGGTAAAATGGAAGCTAAAATCTTAAAACAGCTTGTTTATGTGAGATGTCACTAAAACCAACACGTTTATCATCCTATTTGTCTATTCAGCACACGGCAGCCATTCTCATTGAAGTTATAAGAAGTGTTTCAGCTCTGAGTGACTTTTTAATGAACTGGAAAACAGGGCAGCCAATCAGAACAGAGATTGTTTACATATAAAGAATTTCATTCCAAAATGCTGTATATCCATTTGTAAGATGTCTAAAAACAATAACAGCTCATGTGTAATGCACTTTGTTAAGGAACTAATTATTGTTTCTCTGATAAAACGCATTTATCATAATATAATATTGATATCATGGGGAGAAAAAAATATTTCAGTGTCATTATTATTATTTTTTTTTGTACAAAACCTTTTATATACCAGTCCTAAAGGCTCAGCAGCCTGTTAAATTCTAATAAATAAAGACAGGCTGGAAACTGGTCATGTAAAAATGAACAACAACTGCTTTTGGTCCATAAAACCACATAAATGCTATAAGTGGACCTCACGGAAAGAAATTAAATACAATAAAATTGCAGGATATGGACCCTTTCAAGTAACCACTAACAGACCTGAAAATAAACAGTAATACTAGCAGAGCTTACAGAGCACAAGGTTTCCTCTCTGTTTGCTGCACTGGAGCTCAGTTCCACATCAACACTGAGCAGCTCCATCATGTCAGATACAGAGTCTTCATTCGGGATCACCTGCTGCTCCTCAGAACCGCAGATCTTCTCGGAGAGCTGAGTGGTCACACTCATCTCGAAGACCGAGTGAAGCGGCAGCTTCAGAGACTCAGAATCCCTGAGGAAAGTACAGTTTGTGTACAGAGCTCTGATGTGAGCTCAGTGTTGAGGAGCGCTGCGGTTTGAGAAAGTTTAGTAAAACAGAAACACAAACTCTCACAGCTCTGAGAGTCAAACAGCTGAACTGGCCCTCAGACCGACCCAGAGCTATAATAACTAACTGAGAAACAAACGGGTTTTATTAAAAACATCAAATCTGTACAAAAACGGCTCATATTTCTCCAACGACGGTTAAAGTTTCCTACAAACAGCAGCTCAAACACAGAACCCGTAAAGAAAACCGGTTCTGGATCACACACGGTGATCTGTCTCATGTTGATGACGCAAAGTTCCGTCACAGCGTTTTGACCAATCGCGCGGCTGTAAAATGAAAACGTCAGGAAAAAAGACGAGTGCGATGATCTTTACCTTAATTATTATTATTATTAGTATTATTATTATTATTATTATTATTATTATTAATAAAACTACTGAATCACTTTAATAACCCACAGGATGAACTACACAGCTAATAACATCACATCACACAGTGTGAGTGATATTTCAGGACAGATTTGTTACTAAATCAGAATCATTATTGTCCCCCACAGTATCTGATCCAACACTTTCTGCTGAGATCAGCTCAATACAGAAACCCATCGAAAACTCTGTTGTTCTCCTCTGATTGAGACTCTTCTGGTCTACAATAAAATAATAAAGCTGACACGTGAAAAACTGCAAAACAGAACAGAACGAAATTAAACAAGAGAACTGGTAACTAAATGTGAACAACTAATATAATAAAGGTAGAAAAGTTAATAAAAAGCATGTTTTTTCATCAACAAGCATCATAAACACAAACTCTTAAAATCATCACACTCTCTTATAGTGATGATGAAGCCAGTTTAAAATGTAGATTTACAATATAAATCTATTTCTTTCTTATTACGTTGTATTTTTCAGATTATACTCTTTTAACTCGATTAAGGATTTTACTCTCCAGTAGATGACAGTAAAGGAATGAGCCTTAAAGAAAAAGATCTACACTCTCTCTCTCTCTCTCTCTCTCTCTCTCTCTCTCTAAAAAGAAAAGTTAATTATTCTATGTTTTCTTAATGAAAGTGATAAAAGTGAGGGAAATGTTTCAGTTAAGTGAATTTCTAATATCATTTGAACTGCATTTTAAGTAATACTGTATCTCACTGAACACATTACATCAGCTTGTGTTCAGTTCTGAGTCTAACTGTGAATATAGTTATATGTTATATGTTTTCATAACTCATATGATTTCAGTTGATGATATAAAAGCCATTACAAGTACATAATAATGGAAGCTCCTCGATTTATTAATATCAGCTGCCTAGCAGATATTAATAAATTAAGTGCAGCAACTCTTTGCATTCAGAGCAGCTTAAGCTTTTATTGAAATGCTGTTATGTCTGTATTTAAAAAGAAAAGGATCAATTTCTTAGACAGATGATGTTGATGAAAAGTACATCACACTCAGAGCTCTCCATAAAGATGATGTTTAGATCTGATGATTGAGGAACTCATGGAAGTTGTTTGTCTTCATCCTGATGTTCAGAGAAACTGACTATTTGTCCTCATTAGACTCTTAGTTTCTCCTGTTGATGTAAAAACTCACATATGAAAGTGCTGATAGTCAGAAGTCTCTGATCATTGACATGTTCTGTTAACTGACACTCTATGTTATGTTAGCCACGTTATTTTGGTTTTGTACAGAGAATATTTAGCGATGTGGCAATTTAAATTTATTTCGTCCTGTGATGGTTGTTCGGTTGTTGGAAGGAAACCTGAACAAAAATATATAGAAGTTGTATTTTTTAAATAAAAATGTATACAAGTTGTTTTTCCTTTTTCATTTCACGGTTTATTTGACTCATCAGTGAATTATCCAGCACTATATTATTTTTATTTTTTGAAGTGCTTCTGCTTTTTCAGGTGCATTTGTTCTGTCCTGTTCACAGAACAGCTCTGCCACCTGAGAAGTTCGCTAGAGGACCAAAGTCAGAAGCCCCCTTCTCATAAGGCTACTGCTTGAACTTCTACACTGAGAATGAAGTGAGAGATTTAAAGGCGTGAAAAAATACACGATACCTGTGAAAGGACATTGTAAAGAAATGCTGAATTTAAATATTAAATGAAATAGTAAATATTGATTATATACAATTGTATTCAGCATTTGACAAATGAATAAACCCAAATATACAAACAAGAAAAATAAAAAATAATAATTTAAATAAGTATAAATAGTCATAGATAGAATAAACATGATGTAATTCGTGTTCTTCATTTATTTGACACTAACAAACATCCTTTAATACAAGTGTTGAATACTTTGTAAACATTAGTATTTGTTATTAATGTTAACAAATGTAATTAATTTAACCCTATATAAAGCATAACCAAAACAGTTAAAGCAAAAAAGGAGCGAAAGAAGAAAGATGTCAGGTGCAATACCTTCGTCACCAGAGGTCAGCCTCACTTGAGTACTGACTTGCTTCCTAATAACACCTTGACCTCTCTCACCTGCAGCTCATTAATCTCCCTTTATGGGGACCTTCACTCACACTGGAAATCTGCGAAGTATTGCCTGTTCATCTGTGTACCAAGCCTTGTTTGTTCACATCTGTTGGATTTCTTTTTTTTTGGGGGGGGGTTCTTGGACCTTCTTCTGAACTCTTTGGTACCTTTGCTAGTGTTGTGATCTATTCTGTTTTTTGGATTGTCTCTGACACTGATTCTGGTTTTTGTGATTTTTGATACTGTGTTCTGAGTAAACGGGAATTATGGATTCAAACCCATCTGCAGAGTCTTCATTACAAAAGAAAGTAGGAAAGGAAATACAAAAAACTTGGACTCTTAATGTATAAGACAGGAACTGCAAATATCTAGAAGACAAAATGTTTGTTACACAATTAAACATTTAATCTTGTAATTTCCAAAATGAAAATAAACTACATGCCCTATTATTTCCACACATATTTTTAGTTTGCCCTTTATAATGATTTAAATACAAAGCCTACAAAACATAATTATCATTGCCTGTCAATTTTAATGCATTTGTGTGTGTGACTTCTGTGTTTGTATTGTACTTTGCATTAACCATGTATGTATGCAGTAAGACACTCACGCAAATCGCATGTCAAATAAAAAAGAAATTAAATCATCAAACTGCATTTCACAGTGTATCAATACCTACAACACTTGCTGTGTTGCTTTGTCATGTTTTAAAGGTCCATTTACTAACATTTACAGTTAAGATACTGGAATACAAATTCTTTTCAAAAGATACAAATTCATTTCAAAAGGTATCCAAACAGTAAAGTGCTTTGGCCATTTTCATACATTTTCAAATTTGATAAATACGTTTATATACATTTATTTTTCTATAGTACATTTAATATTTCCCCATACATTTTAAATTAAATGGATTTTAAAATATATGCATTAATATTATTGATATGGCAATATATTCTGAAATGCATATTAGTGTTTGGAATGTATTTTGCCATGGATTTCAAATATATAAAATTAACCCATATAGAAAATATATATATATATATATATATATATATATATATATATATATATATATATATATATATATATATATTAGAAATATATAAATATATTTGAAATGTATGAAATTAAGTTATATGTCCACATATATATTTTCCATATGGGTTGTATGATAGACTTGAAGGAAGCCTAATTTAACATGAAAAACGCAAGTTACTATGCTGTAGCAATGATATGTGCATGCTGGGACCAATAAATGGGTAGAACAAACTTCGTAGAACAATTGGTCGCTGATAAAAGTGACGATGAAGTGACAGAGCAGTGGCGGTGAAGTGACGGTCACTGATAAAAGTGACGGAACAGTGACGAAGCAGTTGCGGTCGCTATTAAAAATGAGGTAAAGTGACGGATGAGTGACGGTCACTAATAAAAGTGACCGTCATGGTCATGGCGTATAGAGCAGTAATGCACACAATAAAATGAATAGGAAGCTGAAAATCCAGGTAGATACTGAAGGTCTTATTCACATTGGGTCAGGATAATTACATATCCTAGACAGAGATCCAATCTCCACCTGTAAGGAATTCCTGTTCATTTTACAGTGTGCGTTACTGCTCTATGTGCCATGTTTCCAGTCATTTTTAATGTATTAAATCAGCTTGGCCAGGCTAAAACCAGGTTTTTCTTACAGGGGGAGACTGGATCTCTATATATTATATGTGATTTTCCTAGCCCGAAGTAAATAATGCCTTCAGTATCCACCTGGAATTTCAGTTTCCTATTCATTTCATTGTGTGCATTACTGCTCTATGAGCCATGTTGCTGATTATTTTAATGTATTAAATCAGCTTGGGCCAGACTAAAACCAGGTTTTCCTTACAGGGGGAGACTGGATCTCTATGTAGGATATGTAATTATCCTGGCCCAAAGTAAATAATACCTTCAGTATCCACCTGGAATTTCAGCTTCCTATTCACTTCATTGTGTGCATTACTGCTCTGAGCTATGTTGCCAGTTATTTTAATGTATTAAATCAGCTTGGGTTTGGCTAAAACCTGTTTTTCTTTCCAGGCACAGCATTTTTCTGTGTTTGGTATCTGGTATTGGTTTTATTCCATGCAAATACACCCCTCTGAAATTTCTTGTTTCTTGTCTATTTCCTTTAACGCACAATTACTCATTGTGCTATATTGCCAGGTACACTGTAAAAAGTGGGACTGGGGTTAATTGATATTTACTAAATAACTTATAGTAACCTCTACATAATAAAAAAAGACTATGTTCAGTTAGAAATCAAACTGAGCTGCATCCAATAAATTTGAATGTTTTATTAATTGTATTTTACGCAGTTTTGGTTGAATAAAATTAGCTGTGATACATTGAGTACTGCAGCTACCAAACATGTCAAATTTCCTGTGCTGTAAATCACATTTAAGCTCCAGCGAGCTAGTGCATTTGAGTTTTGATTAGCACAGAAGCATCTCATGGGTTTAAATTACAGATTTTGCTGTTGGGGTACGGACAGAGGCGAGGCTCTCTGATGTGTCGGCAAAAAAAACATACTGGAAGATTCCACCCGTATTGAGGAGAGCAGATTACACCGGTATTGAGGAGAGCAGATTCCACCCGTATTGAGCTCCGTCACCAACGTTTCACCGCGGAGGCGATATCTGCGCGCCTAGAGCCGCTTCTGGAAACTTCGAAAGGACTCAAAATGCGTTTGGTGAATGAATTATTGGATTATTTGACGTAGCAGCAGCTTTTCAATCGGATATTTATTCAAACCTAATTCTGTAATTTGTGAATGCTGAACTCTTCATATGTCAAAACGAAAATAAGCATCATTTGCTAACAGTTAAGTTAGCTAACCTAGCTAGGTTAACTAACTAGCTCGCTAGCGAGTCACCTCTTTTAGTGACTGCTCTCACAAAATATGTGAGGCACCTTTTTAGCTAAATTACTATTTTAAAGTGAGACGGTGTCGAATTTATGGTATAATGGACTAGTGTGTATACTTGTTAGAGTTGCTAGTTAGCTAAATAACCTAGCTAGCTTAGCTAGCGTTACGTCCGCGCGAGCTTAGGCTAAGTTAATAGCTCTGCTGGACGACCGGTTCACTCCGGCTGACCTGTGCTGACCATGATGGGCTCAAATCTGAATGGGAGACGTCGAGAGACTGACTGGGGTATGAATGACAGAAAAGCAGAAACTAGCTGTGGCTTACCTAACTAACTTAACTAGCTGTGGCTTAACCTACCTAACTACGGTCTGTGATGTGTGGGGCTGTTAGCTTGGTGGCCAGCAGGCTAACGGTCTCACACACCACAGAACATGTTCGATGCTTTTCTCACACGAGTTTAGAGGTTAAACACAGACATCTGAGGGAGATCTGTCGAGTGACTGGTACAGTTAAAGCATTAGTTTAATGTCTATTTGGCAACTAGCTGCCAAGTGATTTTACATTCTAACAATCCTATATCACACTAAAGTTTGTGAAATCTGTTCTTTCTTCTTATGCCCCTATTTTCAGGCTTAACCATATCTTTTCTTCTTGCAGTTACCTACACGTTTCCTACACCTACCACCAGCATTTCTCAGGTATGGAAGCAGCTTTTATTTTTTATTTATATTTTTTTATTTTATTTTCTTTTTCTGGCGTGTTGCTGGTTTGTTTACGCCCAGTTTTCTACATTTGTAACCGTCTAAGATGAATATGTCTGTCTTTATTTGAAGTCAGTGTTTTAAACTTAATAGTTAACGTTATTAGTATGTCTGTTTCTCATGACTGACTGTTGACTGACAGTAATAACCTTTGGGAAAGAACAGTGACGTTTTTAAATGTTTTCTCATGGAGGGTGCATGTTGACTCAAGTACAGATGTTGACTGAATACCTTTTCACAAGTAATATTTAACCAAGAGTATTTCTGCTTTTACTCAAATTACCAGCACCTGTCTTACACAACAACTAAGAAGCTGTGTATTTTGTCCACCCTGCTTCTCACTGATTACCAACTCCAGAATAAGCCAGAAAAATATCTCTAAGCTATAAAAGCCGCATGTTTACTTGATTCGAGCTTTTTTTCGAGCTCAATTTTGCTCACTTATTTCTTCATTTTACATGCAGTCATGAGGAATCCATCTTCACAAACTGCAGGTGAAAAAGAAATTGACCAGAGACCTCCACATCTGTCAAGAGCTGAGTATATTTAACAGGTAGGATTCAGATGTTCATTCTCTCTCCCAAACATACTCTACATATATGCTCACCGGCTATTTTTACAGTACTCCTTACTTACAGACTGGAGTCCATCTCTTTCTTTGTATACAGTACCCCCCTCCTTCCCTTTTTACAGGGCCACCACAGAGCAGGTATTATTATTAATGAAACATTCTCAGCACTGCAGCGACACTGACGTTGTGTTGTTATGTCAGTGCGTGTTGTGAGGTAATTAAAGCATTGCTGTATCTGATACACCAATACCACACTTACTATGTCAGCATCCCTGCAGTGCTGAGAATTAATCAATAATACCTGCTTTGTGTGGTCTGGGCAGGTCCTGATCATTGATGAATGATGTGAAAGGGGGCTAAAAACGTATGCAGAGAAAAAGATCAGCTACAATTTGCAATTGCAGAGCTACAAAGTGCACATATATATTAAATAGACCTGATTCAATAGAAAAGTAAGTAAATACAAGGCAGCATTACCTAATAAGGTGGCCAGTAAGTGTACACATATAATCAAGCACAGTGATGTAATTTAATTTGTATTTTTTGTTAACAGTGTTGTAGCTGTTACCTGCTATTCTATTAATATGTCTGAATTGTGTGTAAGTTGTATATATTTTGCTTAGGCAGGTAATGCAATTGTTTCTAAAGGATTTCTGGTGTAATCAGTTCATTTATGCTTACCTGTGAACACGTGAGCTTTAAGAATTGTAAATTTTTCAAGACATGATACAGTATGTAGTGTGATAATGCATATATTACTTTCTTAGAACAGTGGCAGATTATTGATTGATCAGCTGTGTTCACCTGTGTTGTACTTCTTTGCTTGAGTCTAGCTATACTTAGTACAACAAATATTCTTATGTTAGCTCAACTAAATATCTTAGTGCTGACAGATATCAGCCAGTCATTTACGGAAGTTGACCAAACAAGATAAAGATGGGGGAAATTGGTATGAATGCTGAATGCTGGTTTCTCATATATTTAGTACATTGGAGCTCAGTTTAACATCAGAGGGCCTTGCGTTTATTTTTGTGTATGCATCATGCTCAAGCAACGCATTGATCTAACTTTTACTTTGTTTTTGTTTTCTGGCTACAGAGAGGGTCGTGCAGGTCCCTAGTGAACACCTGATGGACAATATGTGAGTTCTCATGCAGAACTGGTGGCAGTACACACTTTAAGTTCCAGTAATCATCCAACATTATGTCCGTGTGAGGCTCTATCCTATGTTGAGCACCTTCTTCGGTCAAGTCTGGACTCAGTGACTCATTATTCTTGATCAGCCAGGGCAAGTGGCTAATTCTTTTCATGATCTTTATTCATTCCACCGTGGATTATCCGTTATATATAAATGGACAAGTGCTGTTTTTTCATCATCTCAACATAGCTTTGTGAGTATCCTGGACATATTACTGAATCATCCAAGAAAAGTTTCTTGAAGTTCATCAATATAGTCTGTACCTTGGATTGTAATGGATGTTATTTGTTGTTTCCTTTGTAATTTACCATAAGCAGTTGTTGACTGTTAAATCTGTGCTAACTAATTGTAATTCCTTATGGGTTGTACTGTATTTTTTGCAATGAAATTCTGGCAACTACAGCTGCCGGTAATTTACTGTTAAATCGAACTTTGCAATAAAATGCTGTAATGTGTCATACGGTTGTACTGTGTTTATCACTGATAGACTGTAAATATGTTAATAGTATATCTGTTTTCAAAATAATTTACAACAATTCTCAACAGAGAAATTTACACTTGGCAAAAAAGCATACTGTAACGTCTTATACTTTTCCACTATATATGTTTACTGTGAAGATCTGGCAACCACAGCTGTTGTAAAGTGTAGTAAATATAAACCAGTTTTCGCCATAAATTTAGTAAATGTAAATATATTTTCCCCAGATATTGTTAAATTAATTTGTATTTACTCAATATTTGTGGGCTACAATAACTCATAATGTGGCATACTATTACTAAATACAACACATTTTAAGTTGCTTTTATTAACATTTACTGAATTTTTTTGCATAAATTTAGTTCACTTATTTAATGCATTTTAATCAAAGTTTAGGTAAGTAAAATCTATTCAGTTATATTAGGTGTCACTTGTTGCCATAATTTTTTAAAGTATTAGTCACATTTTTTACAGTGTACATCTGCGATTGGAAAAAACTATTCAATTTAATCACATTAAATTTAGATTTGGATTAGCTTTAAATCCAATTCATAAACTCACCCTTATTTTTTTTCCTTAGTCTCATACTTTAAACTTGCAATGAAAAAAACACTGGAAATGAATTGAAGGAACATCATATATTTACAGAATTAAATATTTTATTTCTTTATAGTCATAATCTTCATGTTCACAATGGTAAGGCAAGCACAGTTCACATTCCTAACTCCTTCATTAGTATGTCTCCATCATTAGTCTCTCTGAGTCTGAGTCTAAAATAGGGAACTGTGCAGCATACAGCGTTTGTGAATACTCCCTTTGTAGCCGCGAATGAGGAGCTAACTTCAGCCGGAGAATAAGACGCTGCGAATAAGGAGCCAAACGAATCGGAAGCTGCGAAAAAGTAACTAACTTCAGCCTCGTCAGCTGGGAGGTAACATTTGGGAAGGAGGGGAAAGTGAAAGTGCAAAAGTCAGGAATCAGCAGCCAAACAGCGCCGCGGCGAACTGCTGGATATTCAGATACTCGGAGAAGAGTTTAAACACAGACAGTTCTGACTCTCCGAGAAAAAGACTACGAGAGGAATAAAGGTATGTACTTCAGTGAATGGTTTATAGGACTGATTTGGGTGGGCGCGACAAACTGGCGGGGGCTGTAGGTCAGAAAAAGAAGTGTGAAGCATCACTGAGGCGTTTGATAAGCGCTGTTCAAATACTGCAGCAGGAATAAACTGCAGTCGGAGACTCGGACTTTCTACTCCACCCATAATAATCGGAGCTCATGACAGGAAGAGAAGATTTAAACTCGTAAAGCTTGTTTGGCGCTCAGGAGTAAAAATGTCCACCATAACTTTAATGATCTGATTGATGAGTCCACATTCAGAGTCTGATCACTGTTTGTAGTCACTGTATTTATCTAGTGCTGTAAACGCTGCTCGGCTACTTTGTTGCTGTAAACAGGCCATGTGTTCATTCGCTCCCAGTCCTTAAAGCCATCTAACGGTCCTTCAGAGTGGGTCCTCCATTCTCCATTTCTCCAAACGGGAGGGCAGAACTCAGAGGAGACTGGCTGAACATGATCCGGAGCTCAGCCCAGTTCAGTGTAGGAATCTCTCTCTCTCTCTCTCTCTCTCTCTCTCTCTCTCTCTCTCTCTCTCTCTCTCTCTTTTTCTCTCTAATAGAGTATCCTTTTTATTCTTCTAATGCTGGCAATATTTTCTGATAAAGAGATTTAGACTGTCAATACATTTCAGTGCTGGCTGCATTTTCTTCACTGGTTAAAGCAGAGTGGTGAATACTGAATGCAGCAAAAACACTCATTCAAACAGAGCAGACAGCGAGAAACTGAATGATATTACTGAGCTGAGAGCTGTGATGATGGTCAGTATAAAGAGGAAAAGAGCTTTTACAGTCTGCAGATACAGAACAGTGTCATCTCAGGATCTCCAGCATCTTGATATAATACTTGTTTGAGTGAGTTTAAGGCAGCAGGCAGCTGTGTTGTGTTAAATGTGTGAGCTGAGTGATGTAATTTCTTACTGAAAGGTGTTAAACAGGAGGAGGAAGAAAATGGCTGAATCCTCTTCACAACAGCCAAGAGAAGACAGTAAGAGCAGCACTGATAGACCACCATCAAGTTGTAAGTTAACACAGCTCACTTACAAATGACTGAAATATCTTTTTTCAACTCAGGATGACCTTAACTTTGGTCTTATCTGTATCAGTACAGTGAAATCAAAGGAAAACCAGATTACTGACTGTATAATGAAATGATGTTCACATTCTCAGTGTCACATTGAGAGCTGAACATTTCATGCTGAAGTTAATACAGCAGCCGTATAAATTCAGTGTTGTGCTCAGTGCATTTGAACACCATGTTATTTCTCATAGTATACATTTCAAAGTCAGTTCCACAATCTGTATGAAAATGTTCTAGATAAGGGTACATGATCTGACAGCAATTATAGCATTTACTAATGAGTAATTAATCAGGAAAATAACATTAATCAAGTTGATAAGTCATATATTAACAACCGTAAGATTAAATTACTCATCATTTACTAATGCATGTACACGTATATGAAGAGGGCTTTTTTCAAAGTCTGAGTGTGTCAGGAATTAATGTGTTAATTAAGCTTTTTGTTCTTACGACGAAAGCTCAGTGTTCTGGAATATTCTGCTTATCTCAGTCACCTGTGTTTTGTCTGTAGTTCCATCCTCTCATGATCTTGTCCATCTGTGTCTGGTTAGTCTTGCTGTGTAAGCAGTCCCTGTGTGTACCTGTGTCTTTATCTGTGTCAGGTCTTGAGTTTATTGTATTTGATTTCTTATGTTACTTTATCTGTTTCTACCTACCTAGTCTGTTTGTTTAGTTACTAAAACCAAAAACTAACACAGACATCCTTTGGCCAACAGTCCTCTTTTGACTGTTTTAATTAATCCTTCATGTTATAAAAATGACTTTTTAACTATTCAGTTGATACACAGTTGATACAGAATAGGGAATGTGTTAGTCTGCTCTCACCACTGTACACATAGAAATTATTTAATAATTGATATGGACAGTTCAGTGCCTTTTTTTTAGGATTGTAATAATCCTTCATTCAGGGCTCCCTAATCCCACTCCTGGGAACCCCACCCTATGCACATTTTTGTACTTTCACTCATCTAGTACACCTGATTGAACTTGTTATAAGCCCCTTTTGTGCTGGCTGAAATACAGAAATGTGGAAAAAAGAGCATTTCTCAATCATATTATATGATAATATAAATAATGTTTGTGCCCCTAAATGAAAGTGGTGAACTGTTAAGACGTTATGAACATAAACACAAATACTTCATTGTCATTGTGCAAGTACAGTGTGATTCAATGTGCCCTGCCAAGCTAAATAAGTAATTATTATTTTTCAAACATTAAACTACATGAAAGAAGAAAAACATAGTGCAAAAGTGTCTGTAGGTGATGATGAGGACAGTGGCAAAGAGGGTGCTTCATGTCGGATGGGATGGCCTCCAGATGCATGATGATCTTTCTTTGTTCTGTTTCCACTTCTGCTCTGCTCACCACATGCTGCCTGGACAACCAAGAGTAATTTCCTTCCACCCATGTCGACTTTGCCGCCAGTGACAGATCTGAACTGGAAAGTTGTCATCTCCTAGCTATCTGGTGTGCCATTCTGCGTGTGTGGGAGCACGCCTCATCATAGCAGGGACACCAATGAGCCTGTGTCAATGAGTGCAGAGAGCCGTTTCTAGTTTATGCTGTGCTCTATGCATAGCATGCCATGATGGCCATTCTTCTGGTGGTGGTGTCAAGTCTGAGGGTCCTCTGATGGTGAGGGACTGCCTGGGAGACAAAAGACATGAGACAAAGACAATGAAAATACAGCATTTCCCTCATAGCTCTCACACCCAGACAATATCATGTGTAAATGTTATATCTGTGATGAAAATTGTATATACAATCAGTATGTGTATGTATTATTTGACCAAGAAAAATCCTTTATTGTTGGAAAAAATTAGTTTTTCATTTGCTTGTCTGGAATGGATTCATGAAGATATTCACATGAGACTCGACGGCTACTTAACATATAGTGACTATTGCAAGTACAGCAACCTAGTGGTGAAGAAAAATAGCATCAAAAATTATTGAAGTCTTATTCTTATTAAGTGCTGTGTATCTATTCATGATAAAGGTTGTATATATTATGGAAATTCACAATTTTATGTAAAATAAAATTTGTTTAAATTGTTTTTAGTAAATAAACTAAGTAAACACAACAATCCACATTTCTGTTTTCCAAAAAGCTACCTAGGTAACAGTATGACAATGCAGAATGACATAAGGAATAGTACAAGTTGCTTCAACAGAATGAAACTAACAGAGCTTCTAGAGGTACACCGATGTGTATTAACTTGCTTGTTGCATGCTTAATTAACACATTAATACCTGAGAAATTCAGACATGGAAGAAAGGTGTCATCACTTTTCTATTCATGTATCAGTACATGCATTAGTTAATGCTGAGTAGTTTAATCTTATGATTGTTGATATATGGCTTATTTGTTCTTGATTAATTCCTTGCTACTTTCTAATTATTATCTTTTAAATGCATTAATTACTGTCAGATCATGGATCTTCACTACAAAGTGTTACTGAAACTTCATACAGTAAATTGCTCTATTCTTTTCATTCATCCACAGTTGCTCCTGACTCCAGCGGTCTCCTGTCTGAAGTTCAGTTCCTGTGTTCTATCTGTCTGAATGTGTTCACTGATCCAGTCTCCACTCCATGTGGACACAACTTCTGCATGAAATGTATTAAAACATGCTGGGGTGACAGTGAGCAGTGTCACTGTCCATTCTGTAAAGAGAAATTCACCAAGAGACCAGAACTCAAGGTCAATACAGCATTCAGAGAGGTTGTAGATCACTTCAAGAAGAAAAGTGCTCTGGATAAACCTGAGGTTCTTTGTGATGTCTGCTCTGGAGTGAAGCAGAAAGCCCTGAAATCCTGTCTGAATTGTGTTGTGTCTTTCTGTGAACCTCATTTGAAACCTCATTATATTGTTTCACAATTTAAGAAACACAAAATAATCGACCCAGTGGAGAATCTGCAAGACTACTTATGCCAGAAGCATGAGAGACCCCTGGAGCTGTTCTGTAGAGATGACCAGACATGTGTGTGTCTGTTCTGCATTGAAGGAGATCACAAGCATCACAACACTGTTCCTATAGAGGAGGAGAGTGTAGAGAAAAAGGTGGGAGTCAGTTTTAGACTAATTTATGTTTATGATCCTGATGAAGAATCTAAAAAGTTAACAGTGATTAATTATACTAAAGCAATTTTACACCAAATTTAACATAATCAAATCCAGAATATTCTACAAAAATCATGAACACAATTGTTTTTCTCTTTGCTCACAGACACAGCTAGAGAAGACACAGACAGAGATGCAGCAGATGATCCAAGACAAACTTATGAGGACAGAAGTCATCAAGTACTCGATAGAGCTCAGACAAGTTAATGAAACACAATACACTCCCAATATACTACTCTAGCTACTTTATTTTAATCTTTTGTTTTAATTTTGCAGGATGTGTAAGCCCATTTGAAAATGTGAAAAATTGTATTTTTTTTAATAAATGCCCATTTTGAATTTAATGGCAGCTACATATTTCAAAAAAAGTTGGGACAGGGTCAACAAAAGATGGGTAAGTTATTTAATGCTAAAACAAACACCTGGTGGTTCTTCTCACAACTAATAAGGTTAATTGGCAACAGTTCAGTAAAATGGTTGGGTGTAAAAAGAGCATCCCAGACAGGCTGAGTCTTTCAGAAGTAAAGATGAGGAGGGGTTCACCACTGTGAAAGACGACACAGGCAAATAGTGCAAAAATCAACAATATTGTCTCTCAGCATAAAATAACTAGGGAATGTCATCATCTATGGTGCATAATATCATTAAAAGATTCTGACAGCATGACTCCGTAGTAAAAGAGTCTGGGTGCTAAACTGGCCTGTCTGCAGTTCAGATCTGTCACTCATCTGGCACATTATGAAATTAAAAAATTGACAAAGGAGTCCCAGAACTGTTGAGCAGCTGAAATCCTACATCAAGCAAGAATGAGAAAACATTTCACCTTTAAAACTACAGCAGTTGGTCTCCTCATGTCACCCATGGCATGTGCACTAATGCACCCCTATACCTTCATGGATGCTGGTTTTTGAACTGTGCACTGATAACAAGCTGAGTGGTCTTAAGCCCAGAGGACACAGTGTCCATGATTTCCAAAAAGAATTTCAAATGTTGATTTGTCGGACCACAGGACACTTTTCCACTTCCCCTCAGTCCATTTTAAATGGGCTCGGGTCCAGAGAAGGTGGCAGCATTTCTGGATCCTGTTTATATATGTAGTTTCTTCTTTGCTTTTAGAGTTTTCACTTGCATTTGTGGATGCAGCACCTAACTGTTTTCACAAACAGTGGTTTTCAGAAGTGTTTCTGAGCCCATGCAGTGATTTCCACTACAGAATCATGTCTGTTTTTAATGCAGTGCCGCCTGCATTGAAGATCACAGCCAGCAAATACTGGTTTTTGGCCTTGGCCCTTGCATACAGAGATTCTCTGAATCTTTTACTGTTATTGTGTACCATAGATGATGAAAAGCAAAAGTTCTTTGCTATTTTATGTTACGAAACATCATTCTTGAATTGTTGCACTGTTTGCTCATGCAGTCTTTCACAGAGTGGTGAACCCCTCCTAGTCTTTACTTCTGAAAGACTCAGCCCTTCTGGGATGCTTTTTTATACTCGATCATGCTACTGACCTGTTGCCAATTAACCACCAGGTATTTTTTTTTTTTGGGCATTACACAACTGTACCAGCCTTTTGTTGCCCCGCCCCAACCATTTTGGAACGTCTTGTTGGCATCAAATTCAAAATGGGCATATATTTTTCAAAAAATAATAAAATCAATTTCAACATTTGATATATTGTCTTTGTACTATTTTCAATTAAATATAGGGTTTAATTGATTTGCACATCATTTTGCACAGCTTCTCAACCTTTTTAGAAACTGTGATTTAATTAATGTGTTAAACTGTTCTTCCATTAGAGAAACACAGAGAAAGAGAAAGCAGACAGTGTTGAAGTCTTCACTGCTCTGATCCGCTCCATTGAGAGAAGCCAGGCTGAGCTGCTTGAGGTGATGGAGGAGAAGCAGAAAGCAGCAGAGAGGCAGGCTGAAGACCTCATTAAAGAGCTGGAGCAGGAAATAACTGAGCTAAAGAGGAGAGACACTGAGCTGGAGCAGCTCTCCCACACTGAGGACCACCTCCACCTCCTACAGGTCAGTGACCCTCTATCTGCACAATGACAATGCAGCACATCACACAACAACACTGCCCATGCTGAGGGATTTCTCCTCTCTCCTGCTGGACTGTAGATTTACCCATCACTGTGCAGACCTCCACACACCAACAACTGGACTGACATCAGTATTGACCCTCATCTGAGTGTAGAGCCTGTGAAGAACACTCTGCATCAACTTCAGAAGAGTCTGAATAAGAGACTCACTGAAACTATTAATGAGAAGATCAGAGAATCAGGTGAGAAACTTTCATATTCAGCATGTTTATTTGACATGAAATGCAACTGATCAATGAAAAAAATGTGTTTGTCAATTTTATAACTTTTATAACTTCAATCAAAGATTAAAACTGACCCTGTAAAATCTAATGACTATTATTTTTATTATAATTAGTCTCAATAGAACTGAAGAGGATTCAGCGGTTTGCAGGTACAGTGCAGTTTATGTTTTTTTAATCTTTATTTGAAATGCTTTTATATTTTATTATTTAAATGTTGTCACCATCACACCACTCCTGTCTTTAGATCTAAAAATTTAATTCTTTACATTTCTACCTAAAACATAATTTATTCTTACACAAACCTTTATCAACATTTGCTCAGTGTGATTTACTGGATGATGAATTAATTTATCTGTATATTCATATATATTCATCTATATATATATATATATATTCATCTATATATATATTCATCTGTATATATATATCACACATTGTGTGTTTCTCTCAGTGGATGTGACTCTGGATGCTAATACAGCTCATCGTCAACTCATCCTGTCTGATGATGGAAAACAAGTGAGAGATGAAAACAGAAAAAAGAAGCTTCTTGACAACCCAACAAGATTTAAATATCACCCCATGGTCCTGGGAAAGGAGGGATTCTCCTCAGGGAGATTTTACTATGAGGTGCAGGTCAGTGGGAAGACTGACTGGGATTTAGGAGTTGTCAGAGAGTCCATTAACAGGAAGGGAAAGATTACAATGACCCCACAGAATGGATTCTGGACTGTGAAGTTGAGGAATGGGAATGAGTATAGAGCATGCGCTGATCCCTCAGTCCTCCTCCCCCTGAGAGAGAAGCTCCAGAAGTTGGGGGTGTTTGTGGATTATGAGGAGGGTCTGGTCTCATTTTATGACGTGGAGTCCAGATCTCATATCTACTCTTTCACCGTTCAGTCTTTCACTGAGAAACTCTATCCGTACTTCAACCCCGGTCTAAATGCTAAAGGTAAAAACTCAGCTCCACTGATCATCTCACCCGTATCAAAGGCTGAATAAATGTTCTTGAGTATTCAGCAGAATACAATGGAATTACAGAAAGACAAAGTAAAAAAGAAAAAAAAATACTTTCTTATTTTGTTGTAACATGAAGTTGAAGATTTTCTTAAATGAACTTTATTCTTTTAAAAAATATATTGGAATAGATCACTGTTAAAAAAATCATATGTAGGCAGCCATCTATGAGAGCATAATTAGCTCTCAGAAAAATGTATAATTTAGTGGTACTGAATCTATCTATCTATCTATCTATCTATCTATCTATCTATCTATCTATCTATCTATCTATCTATCTATCTATCTGTCATATATATAGAAAATAGAGATGATAGAGAGGCTTATGGTCTGTGTGTATACCAATTTAAATTTAACTGGTCAGGTTGCTGATGCTTGGCCAAAAATCTGCCCCATGATCCTTAAACAAAAGCATATAATTATTTTCTTGCTTGTCTTTTTTTATTTACAGCAGCTCGCAGTGCAGGAACGATATGAGCATCTGTTAGAAGTAACATGTTAAAGCAGCAGATTTTACAGACAGTACAGTTAAAATGTGCACTGTGGAAAAAAATGTGCTTTTGTGTTGAATTTTCTCGTGAATCAGTGCGATTCAGTTTGGTACGGATCCAACCAAGGCAGATCTGAAAGCGCCTCCCAGATGAAATGGAGATTCTGATTGGCTCTGCTGCTCAGTTTTACTCTGTCTGTTCGTGCTGGTCAGGGCTTCATGCAGTTTAGGGAAAGCTGAGGTTTTATGTTCACGTGCTAAACTTAAAAATTTGTGGGGCATCACCCCAGTACTTTGAAAAGTGGTGGGTTAAATGCCAGCTCGGCACTGTGATTCCAGTGGCCCTGTCTGGAAGTATAGTCTTAACTTCACAGCCGCTCACTGTTAGAAATAAGGTACTGTGCAGGTACGTTTTTCATTCATCAAGGTACAAACAATGTAAATGTTCCCTCAAAGGTACAACAGTGGTTTTAAGGTCCAAGTGTGTACTTTAAATAAGTTTGTCCAGGTGAAAAGTAAACATTTGTATCTTTTCATAACCTAATGCTTTAAAACAGAACAATAAAATAAAAAGCCTGGAGACGAGACAGAGTGTGTGCAGTCAATACAACTTCAATGAATTATGGTATAATTATGGCTAAAGGTACTGAGATGTACCCTTAAGGGTCCCAGCCAAGGACAGTTTTGTATCTTAGTTTTCTGAGAATGTGATTAGGAATAATTGTGTTTAGATGAAATACTCATCAATACGGCTTTCATTGTGGTCTGATCAAGATCTCATATGTCATGTTACTTTGCACATTCATGTTCTCATGTACAAGTTCATAGATCCTTTTACTAATGACCAAAATCAACATTCTGTTATTAGACTGAAACAACAAGACCATCCACTCTGAACATGCACTCTTCCTCTTTAAAGAGCAGAAAACAGTTATCAGCGATAAAGACTCTTGAACTAAATCATAAACCAATATCAGATTCATGCTCAGAAGTGTGCATCGCTCGTTGTCATCGTGGTTAGAGAGACAAAACACCTTCAAATAACATTTCCAAGTTAAAAACTTTTAAATCCACAATATCAAATCATGAAGACGGTGGACTGAGAAATTAAAACATGCTAATAGACAGTCTATGTTAACTCTATGAGCTCAGTGTTGAGGCGCACTGCAGTTTGAGAAAAGCTTAGTAAAACAGGGAAACACAAACTCTGAGAGTCAAACTCTAAAGTAGAGCTGAACTGACCCTCAGACTAAACCAGAGCTAGAATCACTAACTGAGAAACAAACATGTTTTACGAAAAATATCAAATCTGTTGTATAAACAGCTCAAATTCCTCAACCAATGGTTAAACAAGAGCAGGTTAAAGTTTCCTTCAAACACCAGCTCACATATGCTGCGTCCAAAGCCACATACTTCCATACTAATTAGTATGGAAAGTTGCCACATGTTGCTAATAATAATAATAATAATAATAATAATAATAATAATAATATGGTTTTTTTTTTATTTTTGTTTAAAAATTATAGAAATGGCCTAATACCACTTTTCTTTAACACTGATACCAATATTACAGCCTTAAGTAACAACCTCGCATTTTTCTTTAAAAAATATTGAGCTTTAAAATTAACCACTTTTAATTGAAGATTTTTAATTGAAGATCAAAAAGTGGAATATCATCATCAAACTACTGGATCACTTTAAGACCCCAGAGGATAAACTACACATCTAAAAACATCACAGTGTGAGTGATATTTCAGGACAAATTTGTTACTGAATCAGAATCATTATTTTCCCCACAGTATCTGATCCAGCACTTTCTGCTGAGATCAGCTCAATACAGAAACCCACCAATACTGATAGACCATCTCTGATTATTTAACGTTTGTTTACTTGTTATTGTTGATCTCATAATTGTAATGCATTATTGTTGAATGGTGAACTGTCTGTAATGTATCAGCATCAGAAATGAAGACTGTTAAACTCTGTTCTCTTCTGATTGAGACTCTTCTGATCTACAATAAAATAGTTGGAAGCTCTAAAGTGAAAAGCTGCAAAATATAACAGAATGAAATTAAAAAAGAGAATTAGTAACTAAATGTATAACTAATATAATAAAAGTAAAAAAGTGAGTAAAATGTGCATTTCTTTCCTCACAAATATACTTTAGTAAAAAGTATTATCAGTGAGGGGAGAACACTGTTTCTTTATTTAAATATTTTAAATAAAGTGTTATTATAATTACAGACGTTTCATATTTTGTCTTATAAAGTGCTGAGGTCAGATCAAGTTTGATTCACTCAGAAGTTACAAACTCTTAAAACCATCACAAACTCTTATAGTGAAATTCAGATTTACAGTATAAATTTATCCTTTATTACACTTTATTTTACAGATTATATTCTTTTATGTTTGTCTTTTAAGGATTTTACTCTCCAGTAGATGGCAATGAAGGAATGGGTCTTGAATAAAAAGTCTGTCTTTCTTTGATCTGCCTCTTTCTTAGATTTAAATTCCTCTTAAATTAATTTGCAGGAAGTTATTACATTAAATGTTTATGGATACACTGCCTGAAGTCTGAAACATTGTTTTACAATAGTTTTGAAGTTCTAAGACAACTTTTTTTTTATAATTTGGAAAGTGATGTAAGCAAAAATAGCATACACACACACACACACACACACACACACACACACACACACACACACACAATTATTCACCACTATTTTATCATTATCAACATTACACATAAAACTCAGTGGATGAGAATTCGCTTATAAGAAAACTGGATTATGTGATTATGTGTAAAATATGTGTGTAAATGACTGGTTTCTGCAGTGTTCTGTAATCAGTTGCGAGTTTCCCTGTTTATCTCACTCTACTTGTCTTTTAACATAATAGTGAATGTAAAAATGAATTATTCAGTTTTTTATGAAAGTCAAAGCAAATAAAATCACATTTCAAACAAAATCACATTTACACAGGTGCAAAGGTGAATGAAAATCTTATGTACGTGGCCCCCTTGTAGAAGAAAAAAAAGTATATATATATATATATATATATATATATATATATATATATATATATATATACACACACATTAGACAATATACACATTAATATACATCACTATTGCACTATTTCCAATGAACAATTTTGCACAGTAATATAAGTAACAAAAAAAAAAAAAGGCTATGATATGTTCAGTTTTACACATTACCAAGTATGCAGTTGTGAATCCGATCAATCAGTGGATCTGTTGTCTGTAGGTGAACTGCAGTAGGTCCAGAGTGGCCAGTAGTGAGAAGCAGATAAACTCTCTGACCAGATTCTCAAAGCACTTGCTTATGATGGAGGTCAGAGCAGCCGGGCGCCAGTCATTTAAAGTAGTAACCCTGGCTGACTTTGGAACTGGCACAATGGTGGCTACAGCACGCAGGAACAATTGAGAGTGAGAAAGAGAGAGAGGTTAAAGATGTCTGTAAACACTCCTGCTAAAAGTGATAAAAGTGAGGGAAATGTTTCAGTTAATTGAATTTCTAATATCATTTAAACTGCACTCTAAGTAATACCGTATCTCACAGAACACATTACATCAGCTTTCATCACATATCATCGCATCTGTTCACAGTGAAGAGCAGCTCTGTGCTTTAGTACCAGCCTAACTGTGAATATAGTTACAGTGACTCTCAGAAACTCTCACATATGTTTTCAGTGGATCATAAAAACCCATAAAAAGTACACAATAACAGAAACTCCTAGATTCATCAATAACAGCTGCCTTCCAGATAAGAAGTGCAGCAACTCTTTTGCCCTCAGCTGAACAGCTTCAGCTTTTTGAATTGTTAAATTTAAATGTCTCAATTTCTTAAACAGATGAAGTTGATGAAAAGTACATCACACTCAGAGCTCTCCATAAAGATCCAGTAATGTTTAGATCTGATGACTGAGGAACTCATGGAACTTGTTTGTCTTCATCCTGATGTTCAGAGAAACTGACTATTTGTCCTCTTTGTTTGTGTCCCCTGTTTAAGTGAAAGCTCACATATAAAAGTGCTGATAGTCAGAACTCTCTGATCATTGACATAACTGATGCTCAAAGTAATCTGACTCACTTGTATTAGCTGACTCTGTGCATGTATTTTAGTAGTGAAACACTGTTTGTATCTTATTTCTAATATTTTGTCCACTCTTTGTATATAAACTCTTTACAGATATTTTAGAGAAGCTTAATTAAAACAGAAAACTATTCTTGTAACCAGCCACTCATCACAGAGAGAAAGTAGTGATACTGACCTTAAACAGAGAATCACACTCATGCTGCGTATATTAAAGTGAAAACTGTGTTCACATCCTGTGCAGAACATCCTGTCTTACATCCTGTGCACATTTGGGAAAGAGGGGAAGGTGAAAGTGGAAAAGTCAGGAATCAGCAGCCATCTTATTAACACAGCTCCGCGGCGAACGGCTGAATATTCAGATACTCGGAGAAGAGTTTAAACACAGACAGTTCTGACTCTCCGAGAAAAAGACTACGAGAGGAATAAAGGTATGTACTTCAGTGAATGGTTTATAGGACTGATTTGGGTGGGCGCGACAAACTGGCGGGGGCTGTAGGTCAGAAAAAGAAGTGTGAAGCATCACTGAGGCGTTTAATAAGCGCTGTTCAAACACTGCAGCAGGAATAAACTGCAGTCGGAGACTCGGACTTTCTACTCCACCCATAATAATCGGAGCTCATGACAGGAAGAGAAGATTTAAACTCGTAAAGCTTGTTTGGCGCTCAGGAGTAAAAATGTCCGCCATAACTTTAATGATCTGACTGATGAGTCCACATTCAGAGTCTGATCACTGTTTGTAGTCACTGTATTTATCTAGTGCTGTAAACGCTGCTCGGCTACTTTGTTGCTGTAAACAGGCCATGTGTTCATTCGCTCCCAGTCCTTAAATCCATCTAACGGTCCTTCAGAGTGGATCCTCCATTCTCCATTTCTCCAAACGGGAGGGCAGAACTCCCACTAAACACAAAGCAGGAATTAAACCACAGAGCGGTTATTTGTGGTGTTCTGATGGGCAGCTGTGGCTCCGCGTCTCTGTAAGATACAAGAAATTGCGTGTTTGTGCACGTGATCGGTTGTTTTGCAGCTCTTTAGAATGACATTCATTGTTTTATCATTTTATCATATTTCATCATAAATCATACCCACCCCCTCTCTCTAGTAACGTATCCTACCTGTTCTTTTAATGCTAGTAACATTTTTTAATAAAGAGATTTAGTTTCCCTATCAATACATATCATTTTCATTTCACTGCATTTTCTTAAATTATTAAAATCAGAGCGGTGAATACTGAGTGCAGCAAAAACCCTCATTCAGACAGAGCAGACAGTGAGAAACTGTGAATGATATCACTGAGCTGAGAGCTGTGATGATGGTCAGTATAAAGAGGAAAAGAGCTTTTACAGTCTGCAGATACAGAACAGTGTCATCTCAGGACCTCCAACGTCTCTGTCTGTGTGGACGTGTTTGATGTAATACTTGTTTGGGTGAGTTCAAGGGTGCAGGACGCTGTGTTGTATTAAATGTGTGAACTGTGTGATGTGATTTCTTACTGAAAGGTGTTAAACAGGAGGAGGAGAAAATGGCTGAATCATCATCACAACAACAAAGAGAAGACAGTAAGAGCAGCACTGATAGACCACCATCAAGCTGTAAGTTAACACAGCTCCCTTACAAATGACTGAAATATCTCTTTTCAACTCAGGATGATCTTAACTATGATCTTATCTTAATCAGTGAGATCAAAGGAAAACCAGATTACTGACTGTATAATGAAATGATGTTCACATTCTCAGTGTCACATTGAGAGCTGAACATTTCATGCTGAAGTTAATACAGCAGCCGTATAAATTCAGTGTTGTGCTCAGTGCATTTGAGTGATGAAGTCAGTCACCATGTTTTTCTCATAATATACATTTTAATGTCAGTTCCACAATCTGCATGAAAATGTTCTAGATAAGGGTACATGATCTGACAGCAATTATAGCATTTACTAATGAGTAATTAATCAGGAAAATAACATTAATCAAGTTGATAAGTCATATATTAACAACCGTAAGATTAAATTACTCATCATTTACTAATGCATGTACACGTATATGAAGAAGGCTTTTTTCAAAGTCTGAGTGTGTCAGGAATTAATGTGTTAATTAAGCTTTTTGTTCTTACAACGAAAGCTCAGTGTTCTGGAATATTCTGCTTATCTCAGTCACCTGTGTTTTGTCTGTAGTTCCATCCTCTCATGATCTTGTCCATCTGTATCTGGTTAGTCTTGCTGTGTAAGCAGTCCCTGTGTGTACCTGTGTCTTTATCTGTGTCAAGTCTTGAGTTTATTGTGTTTGATTTCTTATGTTACTTTATCTGTTTCTACCTACCTAGTCTGTTTGTTTAGTTACTAAAACCAAAAACTAACACAGACATCCTTTGGCCAACAGTCCTCTTTTGACTGTTTTAATTAATCCTTCATGTTATAAAAATGACTTTTTAACTATTCAGTTGATACACAGTTGATACAGAATAGGGAATGTGTTAGTCTGCTCTCACCACTGTACACATAGAAATTATTTAATAATTGATATGGACAGTTCAGTGCCTTTTTCTTAGGATCGTAATAATCCTTCATTCAGGGCTCCCTAATCCCACTCCTGGGGACCCCACACTATGCACATTTTTGTACTTTGACTCATCTAGAACACCTGATTGAACTTGTTATAACCCCCTTTTGTGCTGGCTGAAATGCAAAAATGTGGAAAAAAGAGCATTTCTCAGTCAAATTGTATGATGTATCATTATACATGTAATGTGTGTGCCCCCTAAAAGAAAAAGGGGTGAACTGTTAAAACGTTATGAACATGAGCACAAAAACAAGTACAGTGAGATTCAATGTGCCCTGCCAAGCTAAAAAAATAATAAAGTAATAGAATTTCAAACATTAAACTACATAAAAGAAGAAAAATGCAGTGCAAATACATGTACATGTAGTAAAATTATAGTAAAACTGTGAATGAGTGCAAAGTCCCAGATAATGATGTTTACATATTTCTTGGGTGTGAGGTAGTAGAATCGTTTGGTTTGGGATGAGTGTCCATGACTGTAGTGCTGTGGTGATTAAATGACAATGTGATCAGTAAACAGTGATGTAAACAATATACAGTAGCAGTGCAGGTGCACAGAGTGCAATTACAGTACAAACATATATGCTTACTAAAATGGACAATGGGCTGTATGTAGACAAGTATGAAGGTGTAGTATTTAGGCGTTCAGACCAGCAGTATGTATCTGGATGTTCGGTGTGTGAGTATGGATTTGGCGTCAGTGCACCTGTACCGCTGTCCAGAGGGCAAAAGAGTGAAGAGATAGTGTCAGGGGTGAGTTGAGTCAATGCTGATGGCTCTGTGGAGGCAGCTGGAGCTGTAGATCTCTTGGAGAGGTGGGTGCTGGACTCTGACAGGTCTCAGATTCATTTATTAAGAAAACTCTTCATATATTTACCCATATAGCTATTCACCTCCATACTTAGGTTAATTCTCTAGAGGTTCCTTCACGTCTAAGTGTTGAGCTGGAAGTCTCCCAAACCACACTGCTTCATACTATTTAGCTGTGAATCACATTACTTGAGCTATTTGTTTCTTTTGTCTTTTATTTTTATAATTTCTTTGTTTTGTTTTTGTTTATCATTGAAAGTAATTCAAATGTAGTTTGATATTTAGCCAAAAAATTTTGATTGAAGCATCCTTGGTGCGAGCATTTGTATCTCTTGCCCTGGTCTGTAGACTTCAAATAAATCTGGGTTACTCTAATTTCTTGTCTAAGGTTTCAGCAATAATAACAACATTAAATTGCTGAACACGCTACAAATCCTAGAACCTTCTCAGTGTTAACCTTATCATAAATAGTTTTGTCATCTTATGTAAATAAAACCATCACAGGGCACAATGTTACTGAGATTTTTTTAACCAGATGGGATCAGTTTTTCATGGTTAGCTGGAGTAAGGCCAGTTTGCCAGGCCTTACAGGAAATCTGTCATTTTTAAAACATTTAATTTCGTTATTATTTTGTTTACACTTAACATTTACTTTTCTGTCTTAAGTGAATGCAGTGTGTCATTAGCGTTGGCTTGGGAATTTACAGCAAACAGTCAACTTCACCACATAAAATCAAAGTTTTTCTGTGATTTTTTCATGCTCTGAGTTGAACACATGAGGCAGGAAAATAATGTTACATCTCGGCCTGATTTGAGCATCAGAGAGCAACGAGGCTGAAGTCAGCTTCCTATTCGCCATCTTCTTGTTCAAGTACCCGTTCCACCTAAAAGGGTGCAGAAGTTACATTCTGGCATTAATAACTGCTGCACCATTGAAGGTGGAACAGGAAAATTTGAACATTAAGCTGGTGAATAAGAAGCTGACTCAAGCTTCCTCAGAAAACACAAGTAAGCACTTCTCCGAGTATCTCAAATTTAATGCCAGTTTCTCAGATCAATAAACAGAAATAATACAACATACTAAGTTTCTCATAAGCCTCTTGAGTCCCCTTCAGAATAGTTTTCAAGCATCTATTCAGCTCAGTGGCAGATTCATAGTAATAAATGTCCCCCCCGCCAATGTCAAACTCACTCCTACGCCCTTGCATAAAAGTCTAGGTGGGATGTTTTGATAGCTTAAATCTCCTTATCAAAAATACTACTAGCATTAAAACTATGAGGCTGAAGTCAGCTTCTTATTTGCCAGCTTCTTGATCAGATCTAGCTGCTCCACTGGTGTGGCTGCACTCTGATCTGGGATTGCATATGCCTTGGGCAATTTTGTGAAATGATCCATGGTCATGAAAACATAACATTTCCCAGTGTTGCTAGTGGGGAAGGGGCCCAGGACGTCCATGGGGACTCTTTATGGGTGTGCCACGGTGGAGGGACTGCAGCGTGCGATGGCTGTGAAGGTCCCTTCTTTGCCATGTATAGGTCACAGCAATGCACATACAGCTCCACATCTATGCAGCAGCCTGGCCAGTAGAACCTCTTCCGTAACAGCTTCAGGATCTTGCCTATGTGGAAGTGCCTCATGCCAGCCATTCCATGCACTGCACTCAGCAATGTCTTATGTAAACTGTACTGCACCAGCAACTGCTATTAAGCTTCCTTGGCACCTATTCCACCCACACACAGTACAGCAACTCGTCATGCATCTGGAGGCTTTCCCACCCAGCTTGAAGAACCTTAGCAGTGTCAAATCCAGTTTCTGCCCCGCCTGGTGCAAACTGCATGCCCAGGAGAGTTTGGCATCTTCCTCTTGAGCGTGCAGTTGGTTTCAGGAAGGGCACAAACTGGATTAGACAGATGTGACCCAACATTGACCCCTTGTTAAGGTGATTCATGCTGGCTGGGACAGCCTCCAGATGCATGATGAGCTTTCTTTGTTCTGATTCTGGTGTCACTCAGTCATTTTAAACTTTTACTCTCTAACCACCTCCACTCTACCTGCAACTGTTTTACCTGATTTTTTACCATTGTTGTCTTATTTTCATTATTTTATTATTTAATTGTTTGTTTATTTATTATTATTCATATTCTTATTCTTATTTTAATTATGATTATTTTATTATTATTTTAGTCATTTTAATTCATTTTTTGTTTACTTTTGATCTTATCCTCCTTTTATTTTATTTTGATTTAATTTAATTTGATTTTATTAACTTTTACATTTTAGCAATGTTTTAATTGTTGTTTTATATTTTTTATTGTATTTTTATGTATTTTTATCATTAATGTTTAATTTTTTTATGCTTACCTGATTTGAGTCATTTTTTTAAAATATACTTTTATTATTTGATATATTCTTACACGTTATCAACCCCTTGTTCTGTATCAACTCGGCAACATTGTAAATGAGAGTCACCATCAGTGTTCTGTGAGATTAAATAAAGGTTGATTGATTGATTGATTGATTGATTGATAATAAATGATAAAGGTGGTATATATCAAGACAATTAACAATTTTATTTAAATAGCCTGTTTTTAGTGAATAAGCTAATTAAACACAACAATTCACATTTCTGTTTTCAAAAAGCTACATAGTTAAGAGGACGTTACAGAATGACAAAAATAACAGTATAAGTTGCATGAACAGAATGACACCAACAGAGCTTCTGTGGTACACCGATGTGTATCAACTTGCTCACTGCATGATTAATTAACACATCAATGCCTGAGAAATTCAAATGTGGAAGAAAGTCTTCATTACTTTTATATTCATATATTAGTACATGCATTAGTTAATGCTGAGCAGTTTTGTTTGTTGATACATGATTTATTAATTAATGTTCTTAATTCCTTGCTACTTTCTTATTAATTATTCTCTGGTAAATGCATTCATTACTGTCAGATCATGTACCTTCATTATAAAGTGTTAAAATGTATATAGTAAATGACTGTGTTCTCTTCATTCATCTACAGTTGCTCCTGACTCCAGAACTCAAGGTCAGTACAACACTGAGAGAGGTTGTAGATCACTTCAAGAAGAAAAGTGCTCTGGATAAACCTGAGGTTCTTTGTGATGTCTGCACTGGAGTGAAGCAGAAAGCCCTGAAATCCTGTCTGGATTGTGTTGTGTCTTTTTGTGAGTCTCATTTAAAACCTCATTATATTGTTTCACAATTTAAAAAACACAGAATAATCGACCCAGTGGAGAACCTGAAGGATTACTTATGCCAGAAGCATGAGAGACCCCTGGAGCTGTTTTGTAGAGATGACCAGACATGTGTGTGTGTCTGTTCTGCATTGGAGGAGATCACAAGTATCACAACACTGTTCCTATAGAGGAGGAGAGTGGAGAGAAAAAGGTGGGAGTCAGTTTTAGACAAATTACTGTTTAACATTGTGGTGAAGAATCTAAAAAGTTAACAGTGATTAATTATACTGAAATACTTTTACACCAAATCAAGCATAATCAAATCCAGAATATTCTACAAAGATCATCATCTTTAAAATATGAAAACCCAATTGTTTTCCTCTTTGTTCACAGACACAGCTGGAAAAGACACAGACAGAGATGCAGCAGATGATCCAAGACAGACTGAAGAAAATAGAAGTCACCAAACACTCAGCAGAGCTAAAAAAAAGTGAGTGAAACACAATATACTACCATATACTACGTTAACTACTTTTTTTAAACTTTTGATTTAATTTTGTAGAATGTACAACCCCATTTGAAAATGTGAATTAATGTTTATGCCTTCATTAAATATATACCCATTTTGAATTAGTGTATAATAATGGCAGTCTTTCAGAAGTAAAGATGAGGTGGGGATCACCACTCTGTGAAATGACTGCACAGGCAAATAGTGCAACAATTCAAGAATATTGTCTCTCAACATAAAATAACCAGGGGATTTCAGCATCTATGGTACATATGCTGCTATCTAGATGATGTGTTTTTCAGAGAAGGCCTTTCTTATTTTAGCAAGACAATGCCAAACCACACACTGTACAAATTACAACACCATGACTCTGTAGTAAAGGAGTACGGGTGTTAAACCGACGCCGTCTGCAGTCCAGACCTGTCATTCATTGAAAACATTTGGTGCATTATGAAATGAAAAATATGAAAAAGGTGACCCTGAACTGTTAAGCAGCTGAAATCCCATATCGAACAAGAATGTGAAAACATTTCACTTTCAAAACTACAGCAGTTAGTCTCCTCAGTTCCAAACACTTACAGAGTGTTGTTAAATGAAGAGGTAATGCAACACAGTGGTAAACATGCCCTGGTCTCAGCTTTTTGTGTGGTGCAAAAACAACAAATTTTTCAGTTTCAACATCGGATATATTGTATTTGTATGATTTTGAATTAAACAAAGGGTTTCATTGATTTGCAAATCATTACATTTTGTTTTTATTTACATTTTCAACATTGTCCCACCCTTTTTAGAAACTGTGATTTGATTAATGTGTTAAACTGTTCTTCCATCAGAGAAACACAGAGAAAGAGAAAGCAGACAGTGTTGAAGTCTTCACTGCTCTGATGCGCTCCATTGAGAGAAGCTAGGCTGAGCTGTTAAAAACGATGGAGGAGAAGCAGAAAGCAGCAGAGAGGCAGGCTGAAGACCTCATTAAAGAGCTGGAGCAGGAAATCACTGAGCTAAAGAGGAGAGACACTGAGCTGGAGCAGCTCTCCCACACTGAGGACCACCTCCACCTCCTACAGGTCAGTGTCTCTCTATCTGCTCAATGACAATGCAACGCATCACACAGCAACACTGCCCATGCTGAGCGATTTCTCCTCTCTCCTGCTGGACTGTAGATTTACCCATCACTGTGCAGACCTCCACACACCAACAACTGGACTGACATCAGTATTGACCCTCATCTGAGTGTAGAGCCTGTGAGGAACGCTCTGTCTCAACTTCAGAAGAGTCTGAATAAGAGACTCACTGAAACTATTAATGAGAAGATCAGAGAATCAGGTGAGAAACATTCAGAGTCTACATGATTTCTAAACAGAAATCTGTAGAAGAAACCTTCAGGGTTGGGAGGGTGCATTTAAAAATGTATTCCATTACAGAACTGCACAGTTTTATGAATCAGAATGCTAGATTATAAGTGACTTAAATATCGTGCCTCACAGAAACAATATTTCAAATATAAAGTTGACAAATTTGTATAACTATAATTTGTTTGAGTTTAGACATCTATACTCAAACCTTGGAGTTTGCTCTCAAAAAAAAAAGTGATTAAAAAAAAATCTGTACATTGAGACTAAAAGCTCTACAACTAAACACAGGGGAACGATGTGCATCACTGAAGCATGATTTAGTGTATTGGATCAATTGCAATATAGTTAAAAACTATGTTGCTCTCCTGGAACTTTTCCTTATTTGCTTTATTTGTCAAACTTTATCTGTTGTGTGTCTTGCCGAAGTCAAAAGATCAGTCTGGTATGAATCCTATTTTGAGTCACCTCATTAACAATAATCATAAACAGAGATCATTCTAAAATCTCTAACTGCCCATCATGTGTGTTTTATCTGCTAAAATGCCATTCTGGCCCATAAGGCTTCATGCTGGTGGGTAGTGCTGGACTTTGATGATGGTAGTTTATAGATGCTCCTGATCAGCTGTCAGCAGTTTCAGCAGTTCATAGAAGTCAATGTGATCTATGAGTTTAAGAAGACATTAATTTCACACGTAAACGAAGAGTACCAAAAATAATCATCATTTACACACATTAACATTTTTACCAGTCATTCTACAACAACTGAAGAAAGAAATCATATAGGTGAGAGTGAAACTAACCTCACCGCTCACAAGACTTAATTCACTCTGTGTACACATTTCAGCCTGATCTTCATTATCTTAAACCGCTTAATCCAGATAGGATCATGGTAGCAGTCAGGAGAGCAGAGAATCCCAGACAACCCTGCCCCCTGCAACTTCCTCCAGCCCAAGCCTCTTCCAGGCCAACTTGGAGATATAATCCATATAAACACAAAACGGTTATGAATGAGTTGCTCGATACCTGAGACGTTGTTTTGTGATAGTTTTGTTATAAAGTTTTGGCCAAAATCGTATTTTTAGTAAAACATATTACTCCAGTATCACTTCTGTGTTTCCTCTCAAAACCTCATTCTCAACTGAGATCAATGCGCACAAGCTAATGTACTTTTGTAGTTACTAGCCTGTAGCTACAGCACCAAAGCAGAAAAACCCTGGGCGAATGGAAATCGACGGTGTCAACAACAAACTACTTGCTACTGCAAGGAGAGCGAGGGAGGAGAGCGAGGTGCAGCTGTGGTCTATCGCAGCTCCTCTGATGAACAACGTTACTTACATAAGCTCACATACTTACATAAGGAGTTTTGCTGACCGTGTGATGCAACACCTAGACCCCAAACAACACAAACATGCAGGGTGGAGAGGTACAACAGGGCGTTGTATTTTTTCGATTTTAGCACTATTTTACCATTATCAGTGTGACTTACAAAACCTTATAAGACAAATAGTTCACTGGTCATTTTTTAATAGTAGATAAAATGATGATATTCGTAGTGTAGACATATGGACGTCTGGTTCCTAGTACTACAACGGTGAACACTTTTGACTCTGTAAATTTCTCTAGAAAGGCGCATTTCACACCAAACCACTCTGAATGATTTTGTTTACATCTAACGGTTGAATGAGTAAGTAATTTCGCAAAGTCGGTAGAGTTCCCCTTTAAGTCTGGAGCTGTAACACAGCTGCTATAAGTTTACATCTGACAACATGACATTGCAGTATTATTTTTTCTCATCATTATTGGACAAGGTGACATTCATTCCTCTTTGATTTGGCTGTTAAATAGTGGGAGTTCTGCAGTCTCGTCCCTATATCGCTTCAGTTTTTTGCTGATAGAATAGCTACATCAGATACACAAATGCCTATAAAAACATCATATAGTCTCCCAAAATGCTGGGACAAGGCCTATCTTGCCAACATTCATGCCCGATCTGTCTTTAGCATTTTTTTACCGCCTGATTTCTGAGCTTCTGTGACCATACATGCCCTCTGCACGTTTATTTCCAGTTTAAGTGATAGAACATTTTAAATTTGGATAGATTAACTGACAATAACAGAACCAAAAAACAAGAACTGACCCATTTTCCCATTTTTCAATGCTGGTTTTGAAATAAAAAATCGAATGACCAAAAGATACATGGACCAAAAAGTGACTGGTTAGTGAAAAATGATTTTTGTTTGTTAATTTTATGGCATTTATTTCAGTTCAAGAATAAAATAAATCAACGATTTACAGTCTAATGACTATTATTATTATTGTAATTAGTCTCAACAGAACTGAAGAGGATTCAGAAGGTTGCAGGTACAGTGCAGTTTATGTTTTCTTCTCTTTTAATTATTTGAAATCTTATTATATTTTATTGTTTTAATATCATCAGCATTACACCACAGCTGCCCTAGAACTAGAAGTGTCGTTCATTAAAGTTCTTCATAAAATATATTTTATTCTTCTACAAACCTTCTCAAAGTGTGATTCACTGGATGATGAATTCATTTATTATCTGTATATTCATATCACACACTGTGTGTTTCTCTCAGTGGATGTGACTCTGGATGCTGATACAGCTCAAATATATCTCATCCTGTCTGATGATGGAAAACAAGTGACACATGGAAACAGAAAACAGAAGCTTCCTGACAACCCAAAGAGATTTAATAGATGTGTCTGTGTCCTGGGAAAGGAGCGATTCTCTTCGTGGAGATTTTACTATGAGGTCCAGGTCAGGGGGAAGACTGACTGGGATTTAGGAGTGGCCAGAGAGTCCATTAACAGGAATGGGAAGATTACATTGAGCCCACAGAAAGGATTCTGGACTGTGATTCTGAGGAATGGGAATGAGTATAAGGTGTGTGATGATCCCTCAGTCCCCCTCATACTGAGAGAGAAGCTCCAGAAGGTGGGAGTGTTTGTGGATTATGAGAAGGGTCTGGTCTCCTTTTATGATGTGGAGTCCAGATCTCATATCTACTCTTTCACTGGTCAGTCTTGCACTGAGAAACTCTATCCATACTTCTGCCCCTGTATTAATGACGGAGGTAAAAACTCAGCTCCACTGATGATCTCACCCGTATCAAAGACTGAATAGATACAGTATTTGACAGTGACTGCAATGAGAACAGCAGATAAAAACACACTTTAAGGCAAAATAGTCCCCAAATTAAGCATAATTTTTTCCAGACTTTCCACTATTTTACCATCATAAACTTTACCTATAAAACTCAGAAGACATGTAGGAACCTGATGTATGTAGGAACTGATGGCTATATTTATGTTGTGATATCATGACCCCTGGTTCCTATCACTACCACTGTAAAGAAAAGTGAATCAGTAATTTTCTTTAGAACAGAGCATTTACATGATACCTCTCTGAATGACTTTATTTACATCTTAACCCCTGAATTATTAGTTTGGGAATCTGTGGAATTCCCTTTAACTTTAAAAAATAAACAATTTCTTTCTTCTTTTCATTGAAACATAAATCCATTTGTATGCAAAAGTTTGGACACCCCTGGTCAAATAACATGTTGTTTTCCTAAGCCTTCAACAGAGAACTCACTTAAATATGACATCAGAGTTGAAGTGGATACAGCAGTTTGCAGGTACAGAGCAGTTTCTGGCTTTTTTGTCTCTTAAATGCTGATATTTGAATATTTTAAAAATAATTATCATTGCACTGCTGCTACCTGTATGATGTAAAGTTCTTTTACATTCAGTTCACCATTATATAAATATATTTTATCCTTCCGCAAAACCTTTTGTCAACTTAAATATGGCATTTTTCTGCTAATTTTAGCACAATTTCTATTTTTGTTTAAAATTTTGGGAAGAAACATAAAACCTGAATTATGAAATGTGCCATAAGTTAAATTCAGTAAATAAATAGTACTTGTGCATTAAAATGTACAGAATTGTGTTTTCTGTAGAGAATGTTCAGAGCTCTAACTCTCCCACTTCAACTCCCGAGTTAAACTGAGACTAAATTCTGCAGTGCTGTGTTCCTCCAGAACTGCACTCTGACTCCCCTAATCCGCAGAGAATAACACAGATATCCTTTACTTTCAGCACAAACACACCCACAGTGCACGCTGGCAAAAAGAGGAGTTGTAAAGCTCATTAATACTGTTTTAAAACATTCAGAACTTATTTTATATTTTATCCTGTTCATTCCTGTCTAAAGTGAGATTTAAGCATCTTTTATTTACTGAAAGATAAAACAGGGTGATGAGTGTTTGGATACAGTGCCATCAAATGGACCTAACAGAACTGTTTCTGCTTATGTTTGTGACTGCAAACTTTATAGAGTTTAGTACAGATGAGTCATTAGTGCTTAACAAACATAATAAATTAGTTTCACAGATTATTACACATTTATAAACAACTAAATACAAACAAGGCACTAAAATATAAAAATATGACAACAATCAAGTTTCTGAAAACTGAATGCAGAAGTTCATCACAGTGAAGGAAAAGTATTTTTAATACATGATGTAATTGTAATAAATAAATCAATGGTTTCAAACTGCAGTTCTGAAGTGAGATCTCCAAACAGCAAATCCACACTGACTGCTTATTAAGTTTGAACAATAATGTAAATTTAGTGAAAAGATTATCACCTGCAGAATTATCACAATAAATGATATCACTGTGATCTAAATTCATTTATGAAATATTATATGTGAGTGTTAAAGAGTCTTACTGTACAGCTTACATTTTCCCTGATAGTAATATAACAACCAAATTAGCCCATATCTAACAGTTTATAATATGTATGTTTCATTCCCAGCTGGAATACCAGTACTGAGCACTGTAGTCCAACTTGCAGTGTCACAATACATTAACAGGATTTCAAATAGTACGAACACAAAGAAATACAGTGAATGATATTCATGATTTATATCATATGTAGTTATATATGTGCAATCAGGGTTAGTAACCAACAACAGCCATGCTAATGTGGGCTGGTTGCATAAAGGAGGATAAAAGGAGAGGAGCATATCTTTGAGTTCTTGGGGTTGAGTTTAGTCACCATGTACTCATTAATGGGCAGCCTTGCCATCCGCACACTGAACTCTTCGGCCCTTGTGTAGCTTATGTTCTGTCTGAGATTCAGCACTGAGCAGTCATGACTAATACATTACAATTACAATGCCAGAATAAAATTTCATATCACAGAAGCTTCCTGAAGTGTGTTAGTGTTAAATAACTCAAGGAACATATTTATTAACAACATATCACTGCTTGCTTTGAGGTAAGTCTGGCAAATGGACTGAAAAGCAATTTCAGATGAATCTTTTGAAAGCTCTTATCCATGAGACATTGAGGCATGTAGACTTTGCCTTCATCTGTTTGTTCTAAAGCTGAATTTAAAACCACTGGAGGAAAGTTGTTTTGTTTCACTGTATACTTGAATATGGTTGAGATGAAAAAGTTTTCACTGAACTTTATCTTGAGTTCTATTTCTCAGACACACTCCTAAGCTGTGTCTGGGCTCTATGATTAGTTATATGTTCCTATTTCTTTAGAAAACTTTAATTGTTCACAGTCAGTGCTGACCAAATAATTCACAAAGCCAGCATTCTTTCAGACATGTTCCCTGTAAAACAGACCATCGTCTTCCTTGCCCTTCGACAACATGCTAATTCAGAAAAGTCTAAAACCTGCAATGAGGAAACAGAATCTAATATATGTTTACATTAATATATGTGCACACCCTCTCGTTCCTTACACACACACTCATGCGTTTTTGCCATAATGTTTATGTAAGACATTTAGCCTTAAAATAAATCCATTTTACTCTATCAAACATGTTTATGATGGGATTACGCCAGATGAACTGAAAAAATACTGAATGAATAGATAATGTTAGGGATGATTGTAAGGCATGTACTATAGCTGTTGGTCACTCTGGGGTCATAGCACATGGAGGAGGAACAGAAATGAACTTTCTTTCTCATTTCATTTCACAAGAAAACATCTTAAACAGGAGATGCCATCATACTTGAGTATAAAAAGAGTATTCATGAAAGGCCCACTCCTTTATGAGCAAGGATGGGTCAAGCCTGGCCACTTTGCCAAAAGCTGCATCAACAGTTTAAGAACAACATCGTTCCTCAACAAGCATGTGCAAGGAATTTAGGTATTTCACCCTGTACAGTGTAGAATATTATCTATTATCTATGTAGAATATATTATCAAAGATTCACAGAATCCAGAGAAATCTCTTTGCACAAAGGGCACAAGCATTGGTTGAATTCATTTAAAATGAGAAATAGTTGCATTAATTCAGAGAATTCAGAATGCATTGATAGGATTAATTGAGAGTGGGCATTGATTCTGTTTATGTTCATATAAACCTCTATATTTGTAAGTAGAAGAGGAAGTATTTTGTTATGGTTTGATGGAGTTATTTGTGTACATGTAGTTTTGTTTTGTGGAAAGAAAATCGTTCATTTGTACCAGAAGTGGATAAAAACTAATTAAGGCCTGGTCTTGAAGAGGACTCAATTTTTTGGGTTTTGTTATTGACCTGGTCTTTTATTTGGACTCGCTCTTGACGTGAACTCCTTCTTCGGACTGCTGTCTTCACTCAGTCTCAACCTGTCATGGTCTTGGACTTGTCTTGAGTTCGACAAAGGTGGTCTTGACTACAGCCCTATAGCTTCGTAGTTAGGAAGTACAGGTGCGAGAATAGTCTGCCTGCAGTCTACACCTGTCTCCCACTGAAAAAGTGTGGCACATTGTAAACATGTTGCTTGCATCAAATTTATAATAAGTGTACATATACAGAAAACAATAAGGGTAATTAGTTACAATATTAAATATATTGTCTTTGTACTGTTCTCAATTAAATGCACGTCAAAAGGATTTCCAGACCACTGCTTTCTGTTATTATTTGCCTTTTACCTACTGTGCGTGCTCAGTGCTAAGCTAGCCACAGTTCAATCTAGTTAATGTAAGCTAGCAGGCAGTGTACCAGGGACAGTTGCAGAGATGAGAGGAGGATGTCCAATAAGAAGGAAAAATCTTTTGGATGTGGAAAATCTTTTAACTGCTTCCCTGTTTTTGAAATGCTGTTGCCATTTGTGTGACAAAGTTGGTTCTAAGTGTTTCCACATGATAATTGCTACACCAAAAAATATTGTATTAATCGTCTATAAAAAATAATGTATTAATATCAGCTTCTATGGGTTTGCTAATAAATTAACGTACCCCTAGCTACAATTGTAAGATATCTACCATTTCTAAAAACCATGAGTGATCAAACAAAACATGTCTTTTATTTAGTAATAGAGCTCAGATGAAGCTATTGATCAATACAGAAATGTGCATATATTATATGAATCATAATAATAACTGAAATTACACAGTTCAAGTTTACCAACCCTTGGTTATTAATATCTTGCGTTTTCTCTTGAACATCAGTGACTTGCAGTCTTTTGTGATAGTTGTGAATGAGCTCCTTTATTCATTCAGGTGGTAAGTCTGTCCACTCTGCTTGGCAAAAAGCCACCGTGTCCTGTAAATTCTTCAATATCCTTGCATGTACTGAATGTGTAAGTTCTAAGGTGTATCAATGACGCTGAAGTCTGGATACTGTGAGGGTCATTTCAGAACTTTCACTTCTTTCCATTGCAGCCGCTGAAAGGTCAATTTGGCCTTGTGTAGACAGTCCAAGTGTGCCCCATGTGCAGCTTCCAGGCTGATTCATTTCCTCCTAGATTTTCTAGTGGGCTGTTTTGTGGTGTGGTGTGGCTGCTAAAAAACTTTTTTTGGGGCAGCTCTACCACACAGCCCATTTCTGTTTATCTGTCTTCTTATTACACATTCTGAAACAGCCACATTGTTTTTTTTTTGGGGTAGAAGTTGTTTGAGGGTTTTTCTTTTTGTCTCACACAAATTTTCTGATGGTTGTCTCAAAAATCTTTGTTGACCTACCTGATCTTAGTGTCTTCCCCTGCTTTATCATACTTTAAATAGTGCTGACTGGCGTTCTCATTTTTTATATCCTTTTTCTAATTTGTAGTGTTTACTTTCTCAAAACTTTTTCCAGTTATTTTGCTTCCCTCGTACTTTTGTGTTCAGAAAAAGTCAGTGCAAGTGAACACCAAATGCACAAGGTTTACCTAAGAACTCATAAACACTCACTATTTATACACATATTGATTACAATCAAACAAAGTGCAGATTCTTCACCTTCAAACTGATCTTAAAGTACTTGAGTGTGTATTAACAGACACTTTCTGTTTAATTCAGTGATGTTTAGATCTGATGAC